AAGGGCATTCTTTCTTCTTCCTCCCTCCCTTGGATTTTCCTGGTGTAACGGAATATTTTATTTTGAACATCTAAAAATACCCTTCCAAAACCACAGTAGTAGTTAGATTACTAAAATTTTAATTCATTTTCCAATCTGTCACCAGTTGGGAAACAATAATTTAAGGCATGGAATCCTTAGCTGCAACAGAAGTACTTATTAATTTGTAAAAAAGAAAATGAGACCCAGAATTGAAAAGAAAGACAACTCTGGAAATGAAAATAGAATTTTTACAGCCCTGGCCTGGTGGTTCAGTGGATTGGCGCGCCCTCCTGCACACCAAAAGGCTGTGAGTTCGATTACAGATCAGGGCACATTACCCAGGTTGCAGGTTAAAGCTCCGGTGGGTCGTGAACAGGAGGCAAACAATCAATGTTTCTCTCTCACACTCATGTTTCTCGCTCTCTCAAATCAAAAAAATCCTCAGTAGTGGATTTAAAAGTATGTTTTGTTTTGGCTGATGTGCTCAGTGGTTAGAATGTCAGCCTGATCACCAGAGGGTTGAAGGTTCTATTCCCAGTCAAGGGCACATACGTGGGTTGTAGGTTAGATTCCCCGACCCCGTCAGGGTGTGTTCAGGAGGCAATCAATCCATGTATCTCTCTCACATCTATGTCTCTCCCCACCTCTCACTCTCTCTAGAAATATCAAAGGGAGGTGTGTGTGTGTGTGGGGGGGGGGTTTATTATCCTCAGGTAAGTATTAACAACAATAACAAAAGAGAATATGTTTTGTAAAGTTTTTGGCAAGATAAAATATTTTAACAACTTAATGGAAAACATGCATAATAGTTTATCCCTGTGGAGATTACAAAGATACAAACATGTTAATTTTTAAATAATGAACTACTACCACATAAGTACATGATATAATGTTATTGTACTTCAAAAAGTAAGAAAGGACCCAAGAGTATAAAGAAACATCAATGACACTATTCAAAAAGGGCAGATTGTCTGAATGCACCTATAGGGCATAGACTTCTAATTTGGATTTTCTATATTAGATTGCTTTCAAATCAATCTCTAAAGTGTTAAAACAAAAGTCCTTAGTATTACTAGTACTCTTTCTCTTTGCAATGCCTTTCAAATAGAGTAAAATGACTCTCACCCACTAGAAAAATATATATAATTTTCCATATACACAGAATTGGAAAATATGGTTATTTACTGTGCAAAATATCCTTTACAAAATAGAACCTTAAGGGGAAAAAGATTATTATTGCAGGCTTTAACAGTACTGGGCAACTAAGACTATAAAATTTGTTTTGGCTGTTTATTGATTCATTGATGATAGCCATTTTTTAAAATAAGTCTTTACTATTGAAAGTATTACATATGTTCCCCCTCCCCCCCACTGCCTTCTTCTATCCCCTTGCCCTCAAGCCTTCACCACCCACTGTCTGTGTCCTCCAGTTATGCATATACACATGAGTTCATTGGTTGATCTCTCCCCCCCCCCCCCCCTCCCATCAGCCTACAAATTTTAAAACAAAAATATCAGAGTGGTTGTTTGCTTCAGAAGAAATGGACAAAAATATGGTCCTTGTTTTTATTCAAAAATTACAGATTCATGGGATTCTGAAACAAAGGAAACCTTTATAACTGAATCTAACTCCCTTGCTTTGCAGAGGGAAATGATCAGGCCTTGGCTGGGTAGCTCAGTTGGTGCGAGTGCTGTCAGTATACATCAAGATTGCAGTGTGATTTCCAGTCAGGGCACATACAAGCTCAACTGGAACAACAAACTGATCTTTTTCTCTAAAGTCAATTTTTTAAAAAAATGACCAAAATTATAATTAGCTGGTGGCAAAAATCAAGACTTAATATCCAGCCAAAACCGGGTTAGCTCAGTGGATAGAGCTGCAGCCTGTGGAATGAAAGGTCCCAGGTTTGATTCCGGTCAAGGGCATGTACCTTGGTTGCGGGCACATCCCCAGTAGGAGTTATGCAGGAGGCAGCTGATAGATGTTTCTAACTCTCCCTTTTTCTCTGTAAAAAAATCAATATATTTTTTAAAAAATTGAAATTATCAAATTTGCTTAAAAACAAAGTAACTATAAGTAATAAAATAAGTATTTGAATGATGAATTTAAATTAAGAGATTAGGCCTAACCTGTTTGGCTCAGTGAATAGAGCATCAGCCTGCAGACTGAAAGGTCCCAGGTTCAATTTCGTCAAGTGCATGTTCCTTGGCTGTGGGCACATCCCTGGGGTAGAGGATGTGCAGGAGGCAGCTGATCATGATGTTTCTCTCTCTTTGATGTTTCTAACTATCCCTCTCCTTCCTCTCTGTAAAAAAATCAATAAAATATATTTTTTTAAAAGAGAGAATTAAAACAATTGGGCACACATTACATTAATGTTTAAGGATAATTATTATTATTGTATTGATTTAATGCAAAAGTGATAAGTGAAACAATAATTTTTACATCTATCTTTTTAACTCTTCTATCCAACAATCATCTACTTTGGCTATTTACTTATGGGATGCTACATATGTGGCTAACAAGTTGTGTTCTCTCTTGATAGTAACTTAAATTTTTTTCTATACCTCTATCCCTGAGTGTGAGATTTAAAGTGTGTAAGCCTTCAGGTATAACATTCAAAAGCATAATACATAGGATATCCCTATAAAAGGATTTTAATGAATCAACTATAAAAAGATAAGCATTGGTTATCTTTTCTGCCAGGAAAACATGTGGCCAAGAAAAGGCAACAATTTTTCACTTTTCATAATCATAACTAATTTAAAATTAGTTGCTATAAAATTTTCCTGCACTCAAAAAATTCTCAGAGATCAGGTGTCTGCTTACAATCATAAAATTATCATCCTTTAAAAAGCATCTTTGGAAAAATAAAAAGTATTCTGAATATTGAGAATTAAAAATAATTTGATGTAAACGTTTTAAATATAAAAAGCCTGCTTTATCTTATCTATTATCTTTGTATCTTCTTTATACCAGGCTTTATCTTTATCTGTATCTTTATCTTTATATTTTCTTTATATCCTACTTTATATCTTTATCTATAACTTCAGTGAATATTTAAATGTTTTCAATAAATTAGCAATAAGTGAATTCTTCATAAAAGATCTAATATTTTATTGTTTTACTATTTGTAAATTAGGAGAGTAAAGAAATGACTTTAAGAAATACCCAGATTAAAAATGAAAGAATGAAACCAATTTACACACACCAATTCCAGCCCTTTTCATTTGTATTCTAGCATGGAACGCTTGGTTTACACTTTAATCATGAACACTATACGAGGAGGGTTTCCCCCGCCCTCCTCTTCTTTTTTTTTTTTTTTTAAATCTTAATAAAGCAATAAATTTTCTTATTATTTTAGTACCATGACTACAGATAAACTACGAATTACAACACAAATTATTTTAAAAATGCAATTTTAAAGCTCATACCACAAAAGAACTCTTTCCAACAGTTACACAACCTAAAAGTGAACCGCAAAATAAATGACACAAAGCTGGTTGCAATGGCAAAAGGCTATCCCCTACTCAAATCTTCAGTATTTGAGGGCCTTCAAGATTCCTGCTAAGTGCCAAATGTCTGTTCAGTAATTTTAATGACAGTGCCAACTTTTACAGTAGTACTTAATGTGAAAACACCCAAAAGTAAGTTTACTGGGTCTCTCTACATTAGGACAACAAAGTAAAAACCCAACCTTGTCCACTAATAATGCTTTCTTCCTGTGATTAAGATAAACATTATAAAGCAGTGAGAGACCAATTCCTTAATTTTTCTTCACTCCTTGCTTGCATTTTAGTCCTCCATGTTTACCTCCCCCAAACACTTCCTAACTTGACATTAGTGGATAAATCAAAAAAACATTTCCCCCATAACCAGAAAAAGAAATCAAGGAACAGACTAAACTTAAGACCTGTAGGTAGCAATTTCACCCTCTGCACCAAGTTGGCAAGTGCTCTGAAACTTTTGTCTCACCGTCTTACAATTTCATCCTTCAAATGGAAATGCAGAAAAAACACCCAGCGAGAAGTACACTGAGCTGTGAGCGATCCCAGGTCAGCCTGAGTCCCTGCCAGCAAAGGGCCAGGTAACACCTCCTCCTCTTGTAGAAGTTTCTCTCTCTCAATCCCCAGGATGCCCCGCCTGGTGCAGCGCTCCCTGTAATTCCCCCGCAGCTCCAAGGCCTCACCTCCCGAAAGAATCACGGCCCCACACGGGGACTCCTCTCTACAGTCGCTTTTCAGCTGTTCCCTTACGTCCTCGCCCGTTTCTCAATTGCATGACTATCAGCCTCTATCTTCAGAGAAGTTCTTAGAGACAAACGGACTCGGAGGGGTCTCCTGCAATGTCTCGGACCTTCGTCCCAACCTCCAAGCCTGCACACACCTAAGAGTTCCCAGAAACAATGAGCCTCAAAAGCACAGACGAAACGGGAAAGAAGAGGAAGTATCAGAACAATACCCCGACCGAACGCGGCGGCGAAAACCCGTGGTCGCCTCCCGCACCCCCCAGCCTGCCACCCCCACTTCCCCACTTTATAGCCAAGGTCTCCCCCGGACTCGGACAAACGGCCCCCTGGCCCATCATCTCCCCCCTCGCTTCCCGAACAAGGTGGCGGTGGGATCCGTGATGCTTTTTCTCCCGGGCGGAGGGAGGCAAGCCAAGGGTTGTGCAAAGAACTGAGCGCCGAGGGATGCCGGGGGGAGGGGAGCACGAGGGCGCCGGAGCTGATCCCCCCGCCGGGGGCCCACGAGCCGCAGAGGCGGGAGGCGACCAGCTCGGAGGCCCGGGGAGCCGGGCTGCGCCGGGCTTTGGGGCGCGAGGGTGGGGGGAGAAGTCTGGGAGCGCCGGCGGCCGGGGGGTGACGGCGCCAGGCGAAGGGAGGCGGCTCCGTGCGGGGCGAATTCCGGGGGGCCACCAGGGCCACGAGAGTCGGAATCGCCCTCCTCACGCCGCCCTCGCCCCGCCAAGCGCGCACCTCAAACCTGCTCTTGGTCACTCCGTTCACGTCCCTCCTCATGAGGCCGGCGGGTGCGGCCGGGGCCGGCGCTGCGGCGAGCGGAGTGCAGAGGCGAGGCGCCCCGGGCAGGCCCCGGAGTTCCGGGGCCGGGAGGAGGCCCGGGAGCGGCGGGCGGGGGCCGCCGGCGGCGAGAAAAGACCTCTGGGCTCCGGCTGGGCCTCCTCCACCTCCCGCGGCGCCCGCGGCGGCGGCTACTTCTCCGTCGCTCGCTCTTCTCTCTCCTCAGCCTCAACTTCAACCCAAAACAAAAACACTCGCCACCTGCCAGCAACGCGGCTCCTCATTGGCCGGCGCCGCCCGGGCCGCGGCGCGGCGTGGGGAGGGGGAGGGGGAGGAGCGCCCGGCGGCGCGCGACCACCCCTCCCCCCACCCCGGCGCGGCGACGGCGGCGGCCCGGGAGCGGCCGGGGCGCGGGGCGGCGCCAGCCCGCTCTCCTCCCGGGCCGGTAAGCCCACCGCGAGCTGGACAGCAGGGAAGTGTCCGTGTGTCCGTGTGTCTGTCTGTGTGGGAGGGGCTGTGAGGCGGGTGCCGGTGCGCGCGTGATCGCGGGTCCGGGGGAGCGAGGAGAGCAGGGCCACTGCACGCAGCACCGGAGCCCCCAGCTCTCCTCCGCTCCGCGGGCATGGAGCACGCACCCACCACCAAGCACTTGAGCTCTCTGCCCAGTTCCTCCCCAGCCCCCTACGTCTGGTCGCTTCTCCCTCCCCACCCCCAATAGCCTGGGTTGCCACACACGTCCTTCCCGGCCACCCAGCTCCCTTCCCCTATCACTCACTGTCGCCTTGAACCCAAAGTGCAGCAGGCGGTCCCTGCTCGGAGCCATTTTCCTCTTTCGGGTAGTCGCTAGATTGGGACGGTGCTGTTGTTGCTGCCGCCGCCGCAGCTACTGCCGCCGCCGCCTTCCCCGCCCCCGTGGGTTGCATTACCCGGTGTTGCAGGGGAGCCCGGAGGGCCGCTGCGGGGCGTGGGTCTCCCTGTGCATGAGTCAGAAGGGCAGGGGGGTAATTGTGCTGCTCACTGCTCCGGGGGTAGGCAGCGCGGCCGCACCTCGCACCTTGGGGTCTGGGGGGGACTCAGTGCTGGAGCGGGGTGACTATTCCTCTAGCTGGGGGAGGGGTGCACTTTGGTGGAAGTGGGGGCTGGCGAGGCAAAAGGGCCTTTGGCTTCTCCCTCCTCTCCGCCACGACCGCCGCAGGCGCCCAATGGGCTCACTGCCTGCCCGTCCTCCAATCAGGGCTCTGGTTGGTGAGAGCCTGACCCTGACGCCACTTTGGCGGGAGAAACAAGCGTGTCTGGACGAGTAGGCGGGGGCTCGTATAGAAAGGAAACTGGCACACGTCTGACTCCTTAGGTTGTGTCATCGCGTTATTATGCTTTAGCAACTCCAGTCCTCAAGGTCCGGAAATTCATGATAGAATTTACATGAATTAAGTTTACCCCTGTTGAGGCCGGTTTGGCTCAGTGGATAGAGCGTCGGCCTGCGGACTGAGGGGTCCAGGGTTCCATTCCGGTCAAGGGCATGTGCCTTGGTTGTGGGCACATCCTCGGTGGGGGGTGTGCAGGAGGCAGCTGGTCGATGATTCTCTCTCATCGATGTTTCTGGCTCTCTATCTCTCTCTGTAAATTATCGATAAAATATATATATATATTTTTAAAAGTTTACCCTTAAAACAAGGACAAACCACAGAATCATGTGCCAAAGATAAATTAAAAACTATCAAATTTCAACAGATATGTTTGTTTTCATACCTCGTTTAATTCGCAGTTTTAGTGACCAACTTGTTATGAATCTCATTACGAGCTTACAAACAAATAGCGCTGGAGAATTGAAAAAAAGGCATATTTTAGCTGGAAGGCTTATTATCAAACTCTTCAAGCACTTTTATTTTCATTATCCTTGAAAAGGCTTCTAAGCAAAAACCCTCAGCTTCAGAAACTCATTCTTAGGCCCACAAACCCAGATCTAGATGTTATATTCTCTCCCCTCACAGGTACTTTTAATGTTATTGCTTCCCTTCAGCCTTTAAGTGATGGCTCACCTAAGAGCAGTTTTCTTCTAGCAAAAGCTGATGAATTTGGTGACTAAAACCTGCAGAAAATAGTAAAACTGGCTCGAGCAGATATATCAAATGCAACTTTCACAGGTCTGTTTTCCTGTTTCAATTATCTTTTCCAGTTAATCTATTTCAAGTTACTCTTACTAGAGGAATACTTTTACTTTTTGATTAAATTTTAATTGACCAAACTTTTAAAGATGAACACATGAACGTTATTCAATGGTTGAAAACTTAGTACACATAGGCATATTACTTTTTATCAAAGAAATTTATTTGCATGTAAATAATCAGGTCCTTTTGTAATGTTTTGGGGGGGAAATCCCAGGTTTTTGTCTTTCAAAAAAATGAAAACCCCCAAGTATTTACAGAACAGCCATATACACAGAAAAATCAAAGATTTTAGAAAAGACCCTCCCAGCTGCTCCTGATGTACATTTTTAAAACTCAAAATTTAAAGCCCAGCTTTTACAGCTGAACCTGTTTCCCAACCTAGTTTCTCAGATGTTAAGCACTTCCTACCTTTAAGGGTAGAAATCATGGAGGCGGGGGGTTGAAAAGAAGGGGGGGAAGGTAACACAATGGGATCGCCCAGGGATTGTGGACAATGAGTTTCTTAATAGTGGCATCTGCTTTAAGAAACTTGACTGAATACTGTATGACTCACACTCCCTGAAAGATTTCATTTTTGTTTTCTGAGAATTCATGATATTGCTGCACTAAATTTTTAGACGTAGGCCTTAAAAAAATCTTTCCAAGAGCTATCAACCTCAAGCCTGGTTTTGGCAATCACATCCTGCTTCATCCATCCACCCCCGATACTTATTTTAAAACATACTGATTTTGAACCTGAAATCCTCATGTACATCAGAGCAGGTTTTAACCAAGAACCCCTAACACGAAGCTAAAGACAGAAGAGAAATCAAGTCAAAGAATACATAAGACGCCAGCAGCAGAAAACAGGTAGAAGTTGACTTCGTGTCCTTGCCGTCTTTTGAAACAGGAGAATGAGTACACCTAGACAGGAGGGAGGTGTCCCAGGCTTGGTTTATTCTGCCTCTTCTCCTCCACCCTGTGGAGAAATGCAGTGCTCCCTGGTTCTCAGGCAGGGTGAAGCAGTTTAGCCCCGGCTCCCTGTTAAGCAAGTTCAGATGCTGGGTCAGTGTGTGGGGTGTGCCCATCGACAATTCAGGGGCTTATCCTTCATCCAGATCCTAACTCGGGATCCTTTGATCTGGGATGAAGACAGAAAGAGAGAAAAAGCTTCCCAGTTTACTCATTTTGGTATTTGTTGGCTCTGCTTGGGGGAGCTGAGCCCCTGATACTATGCAGTACATTCCCCATAAGATCTTACCCACCCAGAACAAAAATACCATATAACGTTTTTTTTTTTCTTTTTCTGCAGGAACCAATGGGACAGGATTCAAAACTAGGTGAGAAACTTGTGAGAAATCCAACCTGGTTGTATGTCTGAGAGGCTGCTACTGTATCAGCATCACAAGATAAAGCACTCTGGTATCACCTTGCCCATGTCCTCCTTAGTGTCACCCAAGACTTTTGACTGATACGGTAACGGATAACTTTTCTTGCTCCACTTTGCAATGTTTCGTTTCCTACTTCTTATTACCTTGGGACACAAAAGTGGCAGAGTTGTTGAGAGCTGATGACCAGAAAAGGGAGAACACTAGAGGAAATCAGAGACAGTCAGGAAAGAAGCCAAAGCTGATTTTCCAACTCTATGCTAACTCCAACCTGCAGAAAGAGCTGAATATAGAAATCTTCTTCAATATCTGATGAAGTCACTCCATTTATCACACACATACATAAATAAGTCACCTGGCTTTTCTTTTTTTAATCCAGAAGAGTTGTGCTGGGGACCATGCCCCGTCCTGCTGATACAGGTCCTGAATGGAATCATCAGGAATGGCACAGTGCAGGTGTCAAAAATCAAAGTAAGGCCGCAGAATTTTGAGAGGACCCTCCAAATACTGAGAACTTGTGTTGCACTCAAGTGGTCTCCTGGATTATTATATTTGTGAGAAGGGCTTCTTATTGATGTCCCCCAGAATCCAGACTCAGACCTATTCCTCCAAAAAGGTCCAATTGGGTTGCTACACAGTAGCAAGGGTTTATCTTCATGCCCACTAGCATTCCAGGCTCCCTTACTTCAAGTGAGCTTGAAATTGTTTTAAGTGAACTATGGCTGCACATTTTTTAAAAAAATTTTTTAATTTTTTTTTTTTACTGTTTTATCTAAGGGAGCATGAGTGATTCAAGTCTGGACTCCTCCTTGTGAGAAAGGAGCCCAGCTCTCAGGAATGGCATCTGTTCTCCTACAAACAAAATGCTGGGGTGTAGACTTTTGGCACATTGTGGATATAGGAGAACTGTTAATTCTGCAATGGTTTTCATGCCACTGACCCACATTAAACCTTACTGCATCTGAAAACATGTTTACAACCCCAAAAGCCAGCCAGCTTTTTTTTTTTTTTTTGTAAAGGAAAGGGAGATTATAAATCATTACCTCCACAGGGAGGTAACTCCTAATATTCCAATGCTGTCTGAATCCCATGAAAACTCTAAAACAGAAAATACCATTTTGGTTTTTCTCCTTAACTTCAAAGATTGGCTCTAATTTGCTTGGGCCTCATGCTAATGTACCAGCACAAGCTACAAGCTCCCTACAACCAAATAAGCCTTGCTTTTCTCTACATCCTATCATTTTGAACCCTGAACCTCATAGAATTAGAAAGGAATACTGTATAAAAAGATAAAGGGTTAAAATATTACAAATAAATAGCTAAAATTACCTTCCCTCCCCCAAACACTCCTAAGAAACAGACACAAAACATTATTTAAGTGTCCAAAGTAACCAAAGTCCTTCATTTGCCCATGTCTCAAATGGACAGCTACCCAAAGGTCAACACCTTCATGCAAACGCATCAAGGGATGTATTGCTTTTCCACTTTCTGCCCAGCCCTTCGCATACATGCACTAAATTGGGTTTAAAACATGGCCTAAAAATGGAAAAGGGAGAAAAATATATATGAATATTTCCCACAGAACTGTTTTCCACCCTTCCCTCTCCCTATGCCCCACCCACCCAGCTCCATTTTATAAGCAAGTATTTTAACTTTTTTCCTGGCAAAGGAACAGTGATTCTTAATAATCAAACCCATGGTCTTTTTAGTAGGGTCTGGCTATGCTTTTCTAAATTCACCCAGCTCAATATCAAGGATATGTCATTTAACATTCTTAAACACCACCTGTCCGACTCACCCCTGATTGTAGTTTGCCTATAAACTTATTAGTTTCTCTCTGGCCATTTTTTTTTTTTTTTGTCTTAAAAAGTAAGGTTCCTAATTGCCAATCAGGGCCACATCCATAAGATCATCATCTTCCTCCCCCATAATAAAGTCAGGGCTGAGCCTTGAGGGCCTATCGGTAGATAAGATTGTGTTACTTGTCATGGACAAGGACTGGTCTGAAGAAATGGGTGATTTAGACCAACTCTCTGGTTTGATGCTATGAGACTTTTTCTTGTCTCGGTCTTTGTCCCGATCTTTGTCTTTTACTTTCTTCTTTTCTTTTTTGTGCTTCTTATGCTTCTCTGTGCTGTACTCTGGAAGTGGTCGGATACCATCATCTGAGCAGGGACTGTTCTGATAAGATTTCTCTGCTATAGAGGAGCCTGACTCACTCTCACTATCCAGATTCTGAGGGGTATATGCTGGTGATTTACTATGGCTGGGAGAGCCACGCTCATGCTTTGGAGTGGAACCACTGATGAGGGGAGAGCCATAGTTTTTGGAGGAGGCCATCTGAGGCCTGAGCCCCTCTCCACTACCTTCCCCAGGTTTCTGCAAAGTCACTTTGGCTTTAATGCTAGGGGAACCCCCATCGTGCTTGCTGATGATAATTTTTGCCACACCTGTGCTCCCCACATTTTTTGACTCTGAAGTCTTCTTAGATGAATCCACTGAGCCCCCCGAGGTGGAAACCTTTGATTTATCTTTATCACTTTTCTCACGCTTGCCCTGAAACTCTCCTCCTGACATGTTATGTTTGGAGGACATAGGATGGCTAGAATTTGTGCTCACCCCCACCTGGCCATCCACTGGCTCTTCACCTCCAGGGCCACTGGTGACAACCCCATGCTTCAGTTTATCTATGACTGCTGTTAAGGACGGCTTCTTATTTCTGCTGGGAGATTTCCCTTTGGAACTCCCATGCTGGTTCTGAGAGGATGACATGGAAGAGCCACTTGAGGAAAAGGAAGAAGATGATGCTGTACAAGAATTAGATGATGGGGGAGTTTTCAAAGAGCCTGAGGATCCTAACCCTGAAGACTTCATGCCACTGCTTGAACCAGTTCCAGACATATGAGAACCACTAGAACCTGAACTGATAGGGGACTTGGCTTTAGAGGATGGGGGAGTCCCAGGAACGGATTTCATTGGAGAGGCAAGCTTATCAGAGCCTCCCGGGGGCCTTGAATGAGAAGGGGATATGTTTGGTTTACTTAAAGGATTCATAAGTGAGGATGGCTTCCCTTGAAGTTTCATCTTGGTGCTGCCAGAGCCACTGCTCAGCCCATGCTTGGTAATGGGAGAGGAGCCTGGCTTTCCACCAGACTGGGATGAATTTTTGGACTGGCCAGACCCAGAAGACCCCTGACTAGAGTATATACTGCTACTTAACTTGGAACTTGATGAACCTTCTGACTTACTGCTTTTCATCTTGCCTGAGTTGGAAGCAGATGAGGAAGAGGAGGAAGAATGGCTATGGTGGCCTTTACTGCCTGAGGAAGACACAGAACCACTGCTGGTATACTGACTGTGAGAAGAGGGCTTGCCCACCATCACGGTTCCCTTAGGAATCTGAATAGTGATTTTGGGAATGGGTGGTGTGGCAACACCTGGGGGAGTCTGAGATCTTCCTGAACTGCCTGGAGATTTGGATCCACCTGCACTTGTAGGTGGGGTGAAAGGTCGGTTAGAACTATGAGACGGAGACTTTCCCTCAGTGTCTGCCTTCTTCCGCTTGGTAGGTTTATCTTTGCTTTTGCCATCATTAGAAGGGGTCCGACTGCGCTTTCCTGGTTTGCTATCTAATCCTGGCCCTGACAGACTATTACTGGTGCCATTGCCTTCTTTTACTCGCTTTTGAGTCTTGTCTTTCCCTAAGTCTCCAGTGGCTAATAAAGGACTCTGGCTACCACTGTGATGCTCCATAAGATCTGCAGAACCCAAAGCCTTACCAGCCACTGCTATAATACTGAAATCAACTGTGTCAACCTGGCTATTGCCTTTAAACTTAGTCTCCCCATTATCACCTCCGAGCATTGGTACCCCCAAAGTATTTAATGCCTGAGATGTAAATCCTTTGAAATCATCATTATCTCCACTTTGGCTGCTTTCATCAAAGTATTCTTCCCCAAAACCACTTTGGCTCTGGCTGTTCAACAAATCAGGATTGAAATCTACTCCATCAGGAAAAAAATGATTGGTAGGAGAGTCACTACTAGGGCTTCCAGCAGCATCTGCAATAAGGTCAGCTGGATCAGTGTATGGATTTTCATTATTATTGGTTTGAAAGACATCGGGGTCAAAGAGGGCACTCTGAGAATGCCCAGAGCTTGAAGAATCTCGAATAGGGGTGCCAATGGGTGGGCAATCGTCACTAGTGCTGGGAAGCTTAGAGGCTTCTTCTGCAATGTCTGAAAGGATATCAGTAACATCTGGGCCAATGCTGTCTGAACTGGATAGTCGGACCATCCTTTGAATACTGGGTTGGGGGTGAGGTACTGGTTGTGGGTAAGTTGTTGGGGGAGTACTACACTGGCTTGGAGCTGGAGTGATGTGTGGTGTATCCAGCGTGTCAGCTGTCATATTGACATCAAAGATAGGGTTTTGAGAGTCAACATCCATTGAAAATAGCTCCCTCTGAAAGTCATCTTCAGTCTGGTGCTTGGGTTTTTCAGGTAGTAACCTTGATGACTTCTTCTTCTTCGTCTTGTTGCTTCCCGAGCACATTTCCATCCGGGGTGAGCCGGAAGAGGAGTTCTGCCTTTCTAAAGGACTGCATCCGTAAAGGGTTGAGAAATCCTGGGCAGGATTATCTTTAAGAAGGTTCATGAGCATCGGGTGGTTCTTGGTGTTGCCGGCCATCGAAGAGACAGGTGGCGGCGTGTGATGAGGAGGGGTCGGACTCGAGCCAATGGTAGACCCCCCGTTCCCTGTGATTTGCAACAAACTGGTAAGAATTGGGTTCTGAGACACCTTGCTGAAGTCCTCCCCATGGCCCACCGACTCATGCCGATCTTTGATGCTCATGCTCATATTAAACAAGGTGGTAATGGGACCCCCCGGAAAGGTGTTGGTTGGTGTAGTGGTACCACTCATTGGGTTGTTGCCTGTGGTCATGCCATACCCTGGGCTGCTAGCCGGGGGCAGGTTCTTTTTCACCATGTCTTCAACTGTCTCTGCAATGAGGGACAGTGCTGGGGTGTCAGCCTGAATGGTTTCAGCCTTCCTCCGAATAGCCCTCATCGTCACAGGGATGGACATACATCTGTAAGATAAGATGGAAAAAGACAAAATTAGCATTGCACTAGCTGCTGAATGAAATCAAGTTTTCATTAAAGAAAAGCAGCTTTAATTTTTCCTGAGATTTAGATATGTCCTCAGAAGTTTGCAGCAATTTCCAGGTAAGACAAATAACCCCAAAAGCAGGACCAGTTCTGTGAAATGCCAGAGCTTTGGGTAAATTAAAGAGAATATGGACCAGTAGGCAATCATCAATTTCTTTTGAAGCATCACCAAAAACAAACTAACCATAAACAAGAATCCAAAGAATTAGATATTATAATTAACTAAAATGGTAATAATTAACTCAGTAACAAAATGCCTTCCTTCTGGAGCTTGACATGTGATTAATGGGATACATAACTTCTCTTAATCAACCACTAGAAAAATCTCTTTACCCATCGAAGTTCTGAACCTTAATGGCTTAGATCACTCCAAAACAATACTGGTATGAAATCTTGTTTATTTTAAAGCAAAGCACTTTCTATCTTATAAATTTATATTTATAAACCTATGTTTGAAAACATTTGCTCTAGAACATGTCAGCAACCTTTCTTAAAGGTCCAGTTAATAACAATTTAGGTTTTTGAAGATCGTATGGTTTCTGTCTAACTACCCTACCATCTTAGCTGCAAACCACCATAGACAATATGTAAATGAACAGATATGGTTCTGTTCCAAAAAAATTTATTTACAAAAAGGCCCACTGGTATCTTTTCCAGAAAAATCTCACAATTACACAATGTTTCTGGAAAGTTGACTGGCTTAAGTATCTTCCCACATACTGTCACTGACACGTTACAAAGAGGATAAGTAAAAAAAGACCTACAACCCTAACCAGCTTGGTTCAGTGTCAGCCTGCGGACTCAAGGGTCCCAGAGTCCATTCTGGACAAGGGCATGTACTTTGGTTGCAGGCACATCCCCAGTGGGAGGTGCTTGATGTTTGATGTTTCTCTCTCAACAATGTTTTAATTCTCTGTTCCTCTCCGTAAAAAATCAATAATATATATATATTTTTAAAAAGACCTACATCTTATTTCAGCTCTCTTCCTCCTACAAGAACCCTAATGCCAGGCCTGAAGTTACCTCATATCCTATTACTCTCATAATGATATTTAAAAACCAAAGCTCATATTGCTTTAGAATTGAAAGCAGAGGAGAGTGAATTCAAGGCAGTAACTAAATGTTTTCCTTCTAAATTTCCAATTCACACTAATACTGAAAAAAACATTACTATACACCTCTTTCTGGGACTCTGATCGAAAAGGGCCAGTGCTACCTTTGAACAACTTTGGCAATGAAGTCATCTGTGCAGATGAGTGCATCTGACAGCCCCTTGTAGAGTTTACAGCTCACATGTGTTGAGTCCTGCACATCCATTACCACTGAAAGACAAAATATATAAGAAGCATTTGAGTTAGATTCAGCTCCTGAATTTTCAAGAAGAGATGAAGGAACCTAACTGCTGCCCTGGGAGAGATGGCAGTGACCCATACAACTCACCACACACCAGGGAGTCATTCACAGGGTGTTGAAAAGATACACTGAAGCGGGACTCTGAGAGGGGACACACTTCAAATTGAAGGAGCCCAGGAGAATCTAAAAGGCAAAGAAAACATCATAAAATAATACATAAATATAAGACTTGAAACAAGTAAATAATCCCTAAGGGTAAAGAATGAAATTTTTTCTTTCCCTTGGAAACTACACCTGTATCATTCACAGGGAATAAAATGCACTTGCCAGTTTATGTTATAAATATTCCGAAACAAAGAACTAAATTTCAGTTTTCTAAAATGAAGGCATTTAATCCCTAAATTGTTAAAGACCTTGAAAGATATAAACACCCTGTCTTAAAAGTGAATTCTGAATATAAATGTGGCCAAGAGGAGTTTCTCATTCTGTGTGATAAGCAGACATCCAGAACCACTGCCATAAACCCTGCTTTCTATCAGTGTTTGCAGCTGTTTGCTGTGCAACCCATAATCTGGTGAGCAAGGATATAGGGCTACAATTTAAAATGATATAGTTATACCAAATACACACATATCTGTAATCATATGTTCTTAAACATGTTGGCAGCCCAGAATCAAGGATCACATACTTTCTTGGCAGAAAGCATCTCTGTAGGACTAACTTCATAACTACAATACAAAAACTCATTTTTAGGTGCCCTGAAGCTATTTGAAGAACTCTCCAAGGATTCTAATACATGAAATAGAAGGTCCATAGGCATACTTGCTTATGCTCTCTAAAATTTCTCATTTCTAAAGCAGTTCTTATTCCCATAAAAAAAAAAATCTCCTGATTTACCTTCCCTGTTTCTTCTTGCCTAGCATTTGCACTGATACATCTCTTTCACTGAAGTGTTTTACAACTAAGGTAAAAAGTAACTGTGGTTAACTAGAGCAGCCAAAATTCATATCAAAGCTTCTAATAGCTGTTTGGAAAACACCAGCATTCTAGAATCCTGGGAGAAAAAGACACAGGTTTCATCCTTTTTTAAACTATATGATTAAGTTCTCCAATGAATGGAAGGAGGAAATATACTCAGTTCTTTTAGTCCTTAGTATATTTCCTCCCTCCATTCTAAAATTTAGATATCAAGAAGTACTTTCTTCCAACAGCATCTCAAGTTCTACTTTATATTCAACTGCAAGGTTCAGGCCTACCTAACCAATGACATCACTGTATGCAGAGAAAAACCAAGTCCATTGCAAACACTACCCCTTCTTCCCCCAAATAACCCACAGAGGTTTCCGTATGCCAATTTATAGATCGGTTCCATCAAATTATTTGTGGAGCTTCAACTAGATTCCCAACACCTCCCACTGAGGTTCTAATTCAGTTCATGTGGATATGGAAACCAAATATCTGTCTTTTTAAAAGTTCCATAGGTAATACAATGGGCTACCAAATTAGAAAATCACTGGAGCTATCAGTTTCCATTTATTAGTAAGGATATCAAAAGGAAAGACAGTACCTTCTTTAAGAATAGTTCTTTTGACACAGCTTCCAATTAGGGTATTATAGGCCACTTGGTGTCTGATTAGATTGAGGATAAGAGGAACTCGGCCAGGGTGCTGAAAGGTGATTTTGCTAACAAGGGTTCCCTGTAGACTTCTGCCATCTGGAAGAGGAGCATCCTTGTTAAGGAAATAGCAGTGCTGCTGACCTGGAAGAGCCTAGGCAAAAAGAACAAAGGAAGTGAATGCTATTTACTCACACATTATACTCTAACCACAACTATCCTAAAAAATAACCTACACCTCAAAACTCAGTGAGTAATAGAACTCCACTGAATTCTTTGGTTAGCTGATGTTATAAAGGCTGAATAAACCCTTTTTTTTGTAAATGTTCTGCTAGTGGTTTCCTAGCCTAGCTAACATGAAAATTACCTCAGAAATCTGTATAATCTGTATTTTTAATAAAATACTCTATATATACTACTTTAGACTATCCTCAAACATTCCAATAAATTCAAGTGAAAATGAGGTTTTGAAACTTTCCTTAATTTATTCACTCCAGCATTTCTCTCTCTCTAAAAAAAAAAATTATTTTTCATTGATTTTTAGAGAGAAAAGAGGGAGGAAGGGAGAGGAAAGGAAAGAGAGAGAAAGAGAAAGAGAGAGAGAGAGAGAGAGAGAGAGAGAGAGAGAGAGAGAGAGAGAGACATCAACTGACTGCCTCCTGACTGGGAATAAAACCAGCAACCTTTCAGAGCAAGGGAAAATGCCCAACCAACTGAGCCACACTAGCCAGGGCATTCAAGCACTTTCTTCCCTGTATGCATCTGAATAACCTTTCCAGATTATAAGCTCATGGCACTTGAAAAATTATTAAGAATATTTAACACATATTTATATGCTTATAAAAATCCAAATACCATTAAGGAACTTTCATCTGAAATCTCAATAATGAAATGTATGTTGTTTCCTGACTTAGAAGCTTATGCTCTTGGAAAACCAAGATGGCGGCCTAGGTAAGTGCCTAAACTGCCGCCTCGCACAACAATTTCAAAATAACAACTAAGAGACAGAACAGACATCATCCAAAACCACAGGAAAGCTGGCCGAGTGTGAAATCTACAACTAGCATGAAGGAGAGAGGCTCACGGATCAGGGGAGCTGCAAAGCGCTGAGGTAAAGAGATGTTTGTGCTGCAAGGAAGGGCGGCTGAGTGTCTGGCTGGCAGGAGGGGAAAGGAAGCCCCTGACTACACTGAACCGCAGCCACGGCCGAAGCCTGGTGGACCCAGGCTCATATGGGTAAAGTCTGGACCGCAGAGAAAGGCACCTGGAGACTCAGAGACTAGGAGACTCGGTGGAGCCAGGAGTCGCAGAGGGCAGGGTCTGAAGGTGGTGCACTAGGGAGTGTGTGCAGCGAGGTCTGACCGTGGGTTGCTGCGGCCTCTCCATAGCGGGAGGAGTCGGAAGCTCCTAACTGCACCGAATCCCCAGTTCTGACTGCACTGGGCACTGAAACCCAGTTCCAGGTGAGCCCCTGGGGCACCTGCTCTCTTTACGAGGGGAATCTGGACTGTCAGGTGGAAACTCAGGGGATCTGTGGAAGGCAGAGGTCTGAGGCGCATGCACAAGGGCAGGATTGATGGGAAGCCAAGACTGTTGGCTCAGCCCTGAGACTCCACCCTATCCAAGCTGAGCTCAGTGGCTTTTGCAATTTTGCAAGTCTGATCCTATCAGACTGTCTCCAAAACAGAAGGTATCCCAGAGTAGACACGGCTGATACTCACATCCAATGGGCCTGGAAGTCATTTCCTCCCAGTGATACCAACAACAATCAAGACTTAACTACAATAAGGCTATACACGCAGTACACAAAGGAGAGGACCAAGAGTGCCTACCTCAGGTAACTGGGAGGCTGACCCACTGGGCCATATAGGACACCAAGCACACAAAGCCACCCTACCAACTCGGAAGCAGCAAAAATGCCAAGAAAAGGAAACAGATCTCAAACGAAAGCAATGGAAGAAAACAAAAGACTGGATATAGAGTTCAAAACCACAGTTATAAGGTTTTTCAAGAATTTTCTAGAAAAGGCCAATAAATTTAATGAGACCCTTGAGGATATAAAAAAGGACCAACTAGCCGAAACTGGTTTGGCTCAGTGGATAGAGCGTCGGCCTGCAGACTGAAAGGTCCCAGGTTCAATTCTGGTCAAGGGCATGTACCTTGGTTGTGGGCACATCCCCTATGGGGAGTGTGCAGGAGGCAGCTGATCGATGATCTCTCTCATCGATGTTTCTAACTCTCTATCCCTCTCTCTTCCTCTCTGTAAAAAATCAATAAAATATTTTTTAAAAAAAGGACCAACTAGAGATTAAAATACACTGACTGAAATAAAAAAATATTATACAGAGACCCAACAGCAGACTAGAGGAACACAAGAATCAAGTCAAAGATTTGAAATACAGAGGCAAAGAACACTCCTCCGGAGAAGAAAGAAGAGAAGAGAATCCAGAAAGTTGAAGATAGTGTAAGGAGCCTCTGGGACAACTTCAAGCATACCAACATCAGAATTATAGGGGTGCCAGAAGGAGAGAGAGAGCAAGATACTGAAAACCTATTTGAAGAAATAATGTCAGAAAAGTTTCCCCACCTGGTGAAAGAAATACACTTACAAGTCCAGGAAGCACACAGAACCCCAAACAAAAGGAATCCAAAGAGGACCATACCAAGACACATCATAATTAAAATGCTAAGGGCAAAAGACAGAGAGAATCTTATAAGTAGCAAGAGGAAAACAGTTAGTTACTTATAAGGGAGCACCCATAGATTATCAGCTGATTTATTTTTTATTTTATTTTATTGAGTTTTTACAGAGAGGAAGGGAGAGGAATAGAGAGTTAGAAACATCGTTGAGCCAGGACCGGTTTGGCTCAGTGGTAGAGCGTCGGCCTGCGGACTGAAAGGTCCCGGGTTCGATTCCGGTCAAGGGCATGTACCATGGCTGCGGGCACATCCCCAGTAGGGGGTGTGCAAGAGGCAGCTAATCAATGATTCTCTCTCATCGACATTTCTAACTCTCTATCCCTCTCTCCTCCTCTCTGTGAAAAATCAATAAAATATATAAAAAAATAAATAAATAAATAAAACTTTGAAAAAAAAAAAAAAAAAAGAAACATCGTTGAGAGAGAAACATCGACCAGCTGCCTCTTGCACACCCCCTACTGGGAATGTGCCTGCAACCAAGGTACATGCCCTTGACCGAAATTGAACCTGGGACCTTTCAGTCCGCAGACCGATGCTCTATCCACTGAGCCAAACTGGTTTTGGCTATCAGCTGATTTTTCAACAGAAACTATGCAGGCCGGACAGAAGTGGCAAGAAATATTCAAAGTGATGAATAGTGAGAACCTACAACCAAGTTTACTCTACCCAGCCGAGACCGGTTTGGCTCAGTGGATAGAGCATTGGCCTGGGGTCTGAAAGGTCCCGGGTTCGATTCCGGTCAAGGGCATGTACCTTGGTTGCGGGCACATCCCCAGTATGGAGTGTGCAAGAGGCAGCTGATCGATGAATCTCTCTCATTGATGTTTCTAACTCTCTATCCCTCTTTCTTCCTCTCTGTAAAAAATCAATAAAATATATTAAATAAAAAAAGAAAAGAAAAAGTTTACCCAACAAAGTTAGCATTCAGAATTAAAGGGCAGATAAAGCGCTTCACAGATAAGAAAAAGCTAAAGTTCATCACCAGCAAACCAGTATTATATGAAATGCTGAAATATATTCTTTAAGAAGAGGAAGAAGAAAAGATAAAAATTATGATAAACAAATACATATATGTCAGCAAGTGAATCTAAAAATCAAGTGAATTAAAAATCTGAAGAACAAAATAAACTGGTGAATATAATAGAATCAGGGGCAAAGAAAGGGAGTGGATTGATAATTATCAGGGAGGAAGGGGTGTGGCAGGTGCAGGAAGAGACTGGACTAAAATGGTACACATATGGATGAGGACAATGTGGGAGGGAGGTAAGGGCAAAGGGTAGAAGGGAACTATGGGGGGGGGGGGAGGAGAAACATTGTATTTTTTGAAATTGTTGTGCAAGGCTGCAGTTAAGCGTTTACCTATGCCACCATCTTGGTTTCTCCAAAAAGGAGAAACAATTGTAATAATCTGAGCAATAAAGATTTATTAAATTTAAAAAAAACAAGAAGCTTATGCTCTTTCTTCACTGTGTTCCAGAGATTTCTGTAATTTCCTGCCTGACTGAGGAAATACGATATGATCCAGCAGTCCAAAAGAATACTTAACCTCAGTAATCCTATAAAGGAAGATTCTCATTTGGGGTCCAAACATAACCTACAACAGCCCACAGAGTCTTACTTACAGCATAAAATCGCATGTTGTGTTTCAAAGGTATGGGGTCAGGGTCCTTTGACAGCTCAAACTGAGTGATCAGTTCATAGAGGGGTATATAAGTTGGTTGAGTTTCAAACAATGGAATTCCTGGGGGGAGGGGGGAAAGGACCAATATAACGATCACAATAAGATCAAAACGTTGACAGCTCAGTTTTCCCTTCATGACTTCTACTTCATTTGTCCATTTATTCAAAAAGTACTTCAGTACCAAGTACCATAACATCTATACCCATCAATACTTTTTTGAGGCCTATAAGACCAAAAGAGGTCTAAGTTAATCTGAAATTGAAACTTGATTTTTCATACTTATAACAAGATTAGCTACTGTTACTTATAACTCACCTGTGCAATTCTGAAGTTTCTGAACAAATGCTCTAGATACTGGGATTGGCTGGGGAAATTTCAAGAAGAAACACGCAGGAAGATCAACACTGTTGGCACTGGTGATTGCGGAAAAAGATGGGGTCCTTCAAACAAAAGAAGAGGTAGGGTTCTGACTTGATATGAAAATGAAAAATATAAACACCCATTCTTAGACATGTCTACTTCATACAAACACATATTCATAATACCTATCAAAACTTACTTCCCCCAATTCCAAAACATCCTATTTGTTAACCCTTAAGTATGTAATCAAATATCTACCCTGAAGCATGTTCTCTAGTTATTGGGCCAATGTAACTCCAAACTAACCTAAGTCCCATGAGAGAAAAAGGAGCAATCATTTAAAAAGGGGAATTAGCACAGTTGTCTTTTTTCTCTCTCAGGATAGAGAATGTGTTCCATGAGCAAACTTCAGAGGAACATGAAAATAAACATTGGGGGGAAAAAATTAAATGGATAAAACAAAAAGCTAATCTCTAGAAAGTCAAGTGAGGGAAGAGCCAAGTGAAACTGACTTAAAACTGGGCTTGATGGTAAAAAATGGACTTTGCTACCGTAGGATTAATTATAATTAACTTACCATTTGTTGTCAACTGGGTGTGACCCCATAATTAATGGTGCAATTGGGAGTTTATACATAGCAGATGTTCCTTCAATTGTCACTGATGCATTCATGCCCAAAGATCGAGGAACTGGGAAGAGAGGGAAAAAAAGGATATTTTCCAAACTAACACAAATTGTAAGGACTCTAACATAAAGAAAACAAAAAACAGGCTAACTTCTGCATGATTTGTCAGACCTATTTTGTGTAACAGATACTGTAATACCGATATAACTTAGAAATGCTAGAAGTTACCTTTCTTTCTTTTTTTTTTTTTTTTAAATATATTTTATTGATTTTTCACAGAGAGGAAGAGAGAGGGACAGAGAGTTAGAAATGTCGATGAGAGAGAATCATCGACCAGCTGCCTCTTGCACACCCCCTACTGGGGATGTGCCCACAACCAACGTACATGCCCTTGACCGGAATCAAACCCGGGACCCTTCAGTCCCCAAGCCGACGCTCTATCCATTGAGCCAAACCGGTGCCAGCTAGAAGTTACCTTTCTAACGAACCAGTGTTTCTGTCAGTAAATAAAATAAAATACAGGAAATAATGCAGTCCAAGGAAAAACATTTTTTAAAGCTCATTACTGATATTTGCTTATTTTCTCCAACTTCAGAATGTATTTAAATAGAATTATGATTATAGGATAATCAAAGATTAAAGTTATAAAGGGATCAAATGAAGTATTAGGCCATTTCTCATTTTGTTTTAGTGTATTAAAGTGCAAATAGAAAACAACATCTATTATTATAATTCTTTAGTAAAATAGCCAATTTCTTCACCATTAAAGTGACGATTAAAGGGGATTATTTTAAATCAGGATGGTTTATATGCTTTAATTCACTCATTTACTTATTTATATATATATATTATATATATATATTTATTTATATATGAAGATATGTACGCATGTGTGTGTATGACTGTATCAGGGTGCAAACTTTAACAGGGATGGCAAACTTATTACGAGTAGCAAAACACAAAGTACAAACACAGGCATTCAAACTTAAAAAAAATTTTTTTTAAACACGACAAAAACCTTCAGTTGCTTTAAAATCTTACCATTATTTTCATGCAAAATGATGGGAGATGTAGTCTTATCATCCAGCAGGTCAGAAGGAGAGGCATAGTACTTCAAATTCATTAAATGACCTATGAAAAGTAAAACTTATCACTACATCTTTACTAGGTAAATTAAGATAAAGAAAAATATTCCCATTTTTATAAACCTATATACAGGAAATAGTTTCACAGATATGAAGACTCATGCTCTAAAGCAGCTTATGAAATATGACAGAAGCATAAGTATTGATTCTAGTGGCAACAATTTACTTCACGATTAAAAATATAAAATGTAGGGAAGATAGGTGTTAATATCTTAGAAATGACTAATAATTTTCTCCCTCTGCTTATAAACCCAAGGTGAAATTTAAAAATATATATATATATTTTTTATTGATTTCAGAGAAGGGAGAGGAGGAGGAGAGAGATAGAAACATCAATGACGAAAAAGAATCATCGTTCAGCTGCCTCCTGCATGCCCCCCCACTGAGGATCAAGCCCGAAACCTGAGCCTGCACCTGACCAGGAATAGAATTGTGACCTCCCAGTTCATACTACTGAGCCATACCGGCCTAGTCCAAGGTGAAATTTTAAGTAATGACTCCTCAATGAAAAATCAGACATTTTTCTAAATAAGCAAAATAGGATCACATACCCCCGCTTCTTGGCGTGAGATAGCCAACACTTCCATGAAGAATCTTATCTAAGGGACCAGCGTTGGTTGCTTTCCTGCAAAACAAATTACCTATGTTTGCTTATATTTAAAGCCTGAAAGTATCAGTACACATTGTGAAAATGACTTCAGCTCTTAAAAGACATAAAATTAATGACTCTATCCTGTACTTGGGCATATAACAATTGTATTTCACCTTCAAAGTGAAAGAATTATTTCCAAGTAAACAGCAATATAAAGTAAACAGCAATATAAAGGCAAACAAAAATTACAACTAGACTATTATTTATTAGATGGGAGGACAGGTTTGACAAGACTTCAGATAAAACTCAGGGAATATCAACCAACATCTTAGGGATACTGACAGTCAGAAAATGGAATGCAATCATCATTTGGGAAGTGAAAGGAGATGGACAAGATGTAAAATATAGATAAAATACAGATGTATAGTAATATACATCTATCTCATATACAGGGTGGGGCAACAGTAGGTTAACAGTTGTAAGTACGAAAAACAAAAGTTTATTCTTGTATTATTTAACATCCAAACAACTGTAAGCCTTCTTTTGCCCAACTCCATATAATAAAACCTTGGTAATGCCCTATATAAAAAAGAATGCCCTATATTTAAGAATTGGGTACTCAGAAGGGTCATATAGAATTGACACCTTAGTCAGTCTTACCAATACATGACTGCCATTTTAGATAGATCCTGTTCTAAGGACTGGAGAGCCAAGTACATTTTAGTCTTTAGTTTGCTAGAAAGTAAAGAGAACAAGAGTTAAATCATTAAAATACACACACACACACACACACACACACACACACGCACGCACGCGCACACACACACACACACACACACATTCTCCCTCTCTCTTTTTTTCTCTCTAATACAGAAAGTTTAAAGGGCAAGTCTATATTGAAGGCAACTAAAATATCCATTATATATATTAAAAAAAAAAAAAACCTTCTAAAATTTTTTTTCTTTTCTTAAATCCATAGTGAGGCCCAGCTGGCCTGGCTCAGAGGTTGAGCATAGACCTATGAACCAGTAACTCACTGTTTGATTCCCAGTTGGGGCACATGCCCAGGTATGGGCTTAGTCCCCAACATAGGGTGTGCAGGAGGCAACCAATCAATAATTTTCTCTCATCATTGGTGTTTTTATCTCTCTCCCTTATCTCTGGAATCAATAAAAATATATTTTTAAAAATAATAAAAAAATAAAAATCTATAGTGATATTCCTAGTGCCAAAAGTTCAACTCAATGGATATACCCGAATATCCATGTATTTGTGCTCTCTTTTTAATGATGCTTGAAGTAAAACAGCCCAGCCTTTTTAAGTCCATCTATGTTGTTCCTTAGGCATTCTATCTTTGCTCAGTTGTTGAAGGATGGTGGTTTGTCTTATAGTTTTTATATTTGAGAACAATGCACATTCTAACATGATAGATGCAATGTATTATTGTGTAGCCACAATTTTCTAGATAAGTCATATTTTAGATCTTAATTAAAATGTGTTTCTAAACTTAAAAGAAAAAAAAATAATAATCCAGTGATCTAACAAAGCTAATTTTTATTTCTATTTAAAAGAGCCAAGCAGGTTAACAGAATCCCAAGTAGGATAAAAGTAAAAATGACAAGCCAGTTTTACAACTAATTTCTTTCAGCCCAGAAATCAATATGTTGAAGACATCTCAAGGATTATAGTCTCTTTTAACATAATCCATCAATGCAAATATTATTTAAAATAATTTAAAAACATAAGAGTTGAAAGGTGAGCTTTAGATTGTCAGTACTATTAGAAATCACAAATGAGATAGGGCAAAAGGCTTGGCAAACTTCTAAGCACAATATAGTTTATAGATTTATATTTATAAGTTTTTCCAACAATAGCAAAAAAATAAAAATACTCACTTGTCTCCTGGAAGGTTATAAAGATTAACAAGACCCTTAAGGTGCTTAGAAAATTCATCAAAATTTTTTTCCCTATAAGGAGTTAAGGGAAGAGGGGAGAGGGAGGAGAATAAAAGATATATTTACTACTCAATCTTAACAGCAAAGTGACAAAAATCATGGCTATTTAAAACTAATTTTCATAATTTGCTCTATTCTTTTTCCCCCCAGCCAAGTTTCTAGAATTAATCAAAAATAGCAAAAGAGCCCTAGCTAGTTTGGCTCAGTGGATAGAGCATTGGCCTGCAGATTGAGGGGTCCTGGGTTCAATTCCGATCAAGGGCATGTGTCCAGGTTGTGGGCTTGGTCCCTGGTAGAGGGCGGGCAGGAGGCAGCCGATCAATCAATGATTCTCTCTCATCATATGTTTCTATCTCTCTCTTCCTCTCCCTTCCTCTATGAAATCAATAAAAATATTTTTATAAAAACAATAGCAAAAGAAAATGAAAAGTTTTCCTTGTTCTGCTCATTTTTCTGGGGGTGTTAATAAGCAGTATAAAAGTTAAGCCCTGCCGGTGAAGCTCAGTGGTTGAGCACTGACCCAGGAACCAAGAGTCACCAGTTTGATTCCCAGTCGGGGCACATGCCTGGGTTGCAGGCTCAATCTCTGGTGTGGGGCATTCAGAGGCAGCCAATTCATTGGTATTTCTAGTGCCTATCCCTTTTTAAAAATCAATAAAAACATTTTTTTTAAAAGATAGTAAAAAAGACCTGATAATTTATGTACTAATTTGCTTCTAGGTAATAAGCCATTTACTTATTTATTTTCCTCACCCAAGAACATTTTTCCCATTGATTTTAGGGTGTCAGGGAAGGAGAGAGAGAAACATCGATGTGAGACACATCAATTAATTGCCATCCTCATGCACTCAGACCGGGGCCCAGGATCAAATCTCCAACCTATGAACATGTTCTTGATGGGGAATCAAACCAGTAAACCTGCAATGCACAGGCCAACACTCTAACCACTGACTCACACCAGCCAGGGCAAATGAGACATTTTAAATAATTTCCTTTTCCTTTTTAAAAAATAATATATTTTATTGATTTCAGAGAGGAGGGGAGAAGGAGAAAGCGATAGAAACATCAATGATGAGAGAGAATCATTGCTCAGCTGCCTCCTGCACACCCCACACTGGGGATCGAGCTCGCAACCTGGGCATGTGCCCTTGACTTGAATTGAACCTGGGACCCTTCAATTCACAGGCCGACACTCTATCCACTGCGCCAAACCAGCTAGGGTAGGTACTTCCTTTCCTTTTAATATATAACAAGATGAGTAGATGTCACCAGGAAAAAAACAGACTTGGATTCTAAGTCAAATGGGCGTTTGTGGGCAGGCTTAGGAATCTAACACAACAATTCCAACACTCTGTATCTCTTTTCAAACTTAAAAAAAAAATCTCTTGAAAGCTAAATTGCTCTGCCAATGTCAGATAATTGGCCAGGCATTTATTGAATACTTACTTCTAGAAGTGCCATGGAGACAATAAAAAGAAACAGGAGCAGCAGCAAAATATATTCCCCACCTTAGAATTACAATCTATACAAAGTGACTAAAAATACCAGCTATAAAGGCTAATATTCCTATTGAGGTTCCTCTTCCAAACATGCTCAGAAATTAACTATTTATTTATTTATTTATTTATTTATTTATTTATACTGATTTCAGAGAGAGGGAGAGAGAATCATTAATCGGCTGCCTTCTACAAGCCCCTAATTGGGAGTCAAACCCTCAACCAGGGCATGTGCCCTGACCAGGAATGAAACAGGGCAAAAGGCTTGGCAAACTTCTAAGCACAATATAGTTTATAGATTTATATTGGTTTTTCCAACAATAGCAAAACCTCTGGTTCATGGGTAAATGCTCAACCAGTAAGCCACACCGGCTGGGCTATTGACTGAATTTAGAGAGCAGGAGGGAGAGAGAAAAATATCAATTGGTTGTTCCACTTACTAATGCATTTATTGGTTGCTTCTTTTATGTGCCCAGACGAGGAATCAAACACACAACCTTCCCCTAGCGGTGTAGCTAGCTGGTTAGAACATTGGCCCGTGCACCAAAGGATTCCAGGTTCAATTCTTGGTCAAGGGTACATATTTGGGTTGCAGGTTCAATCCCTGATCCCAGTCATGGCACATGCAGGAAGCAACCAATCGATGTCTCTCTCTCTCCTCCTCCCTTCCTCCCTCCTACTCTCTCTAAAAATCAATTTTAAAAAAATCCTCATGTTAAAAAAACATACACATTAAAAAAACACCCTGAAACTGTGGCATAACAGGATGATGTTCTAACCAACTGAGTAACCTGACCCAGGCCCAAATTAACTTTAGAATACCACTAGTTCTTAGGTTGGAGCAGCCTTCTACTCCAAATAAGAACCAGAAATACTGGCTTGGAGGACTAAGCCAATGTCCACCTTTCTGGACAAAGGTGATAATATAGCTTTGCTAGAATTATTGGTTTAATTAAATCATAAAGTTTATTTTTATGTTGCACTGCAATTTTTTAAAACTGGTTCAAATTTGGTGTATTTGGGGTGTGGGCATGATTGGGGAGAGTTGGGGGATTGGAATGGGGGTTTGATGACAAATATGTGATACCTTAATCAATAAAGAAATAAAATAAAAATTTTTTAAAATGGGTACATTTTGCTATAAGCACATAACCAGATCACTGAGAAATATGAGTGTAAAACTTAAGTTTCTTAATACTACCACCCTTTCTAAGACATCTCTGTGGCATCTTCTACAGAACTGCAACAGAGAACTTCAACTTTATCTATTTATTTATTTTATTAATAAGAGAGGGAGATAGAGAGAGAGAGGAGGAGGAGGAGAGGGAGGGAGGGAGGGAGGGAGGGAGGGAGGGAGGGAGGGAGGGAGGGAGGGAGGAAGGAAGGAAGGAAGGAAGGAAGGAAGGAAGGAAGGAAGGAAGGAAGGAAGGACGGACAAAGGGAAGAAGGAAGCAAGGGAGAGAGGGAGGGAAGGAAGGAAGGAAGGAGAAAGGGAGGGAGGGAGCAAGGGAGAGAGGGAGGGAAGGAAAAACATCGATTTACTGTTCCACATATTTATGCCTTCACTGATGGATTCTTTTATGTGCCCTGACCAGGGATAGAACTCATAACCATGATGTATCAGGATGATGTTTTAACCTGAGCTACCTGGCCAGGGCAATTTCACTATATTTAAAACATAAAATTGATGTATGACTTTCTCAAATTCCCAGAAAGTATGGGGGAAAAGGGAGACTCATATAATATTTTAAACAATAAAGAATTTAAATTTAAAAAAAAAAAATTCCCGCCCTAACTGGTTTGGCTCAGTGGATAGAGCATTGGCCTGCAGACTCAAGGGTCCCAGGTTCAATTCTAGTCAAAGGCATGTACCTTGGTTGCAGGCATATACGCAGTAGGGAGTGTGCAGGAGGCAGCTGATTGATGTTTCTCTCTCATCAATGTTTCTAATTCTCTATTCTTCTCCCTTTCTCTCTATAAAAAATTAATAAAATATATATATTTTTAAAATTCCAAGAAGTGAATTTTGGGTTTAAATTTAAGTATGGAAATTTCTATTCAATTCAAAGGGAAAAGATAAGCCTGCAGAAAAAAAACCACCAATTGACAAACCATATTCTTTAAGACCAGCACTATACGATGATGGGAGTTTATGCCTTAAATATAAAACAATTTTTCTCAAAATTAAAGTGAAAGGCCAGCTGATGTGGCTCAGTGGTTGAGCATCGACCTGCAAACCAGGAGGACACGGTTCAATTCCTGGTCAGGGCACATGCCCATGTTGGAGGCTCGATTCCCAGTGTGGGGCGTGCAGAAGGCAGCCAATCAATGATACTCTCTCTCTCTCTCTCTCTCTCCCTTCCTCTCTGAAATTAATAAAAATATTTAAAAAAATAAAGTGAAGTTTTTTATAGTACAGACCCAATTTTTTCAAGCTTTCTCTAATTCAATAATTAGGTGCTGTTTATTTTGTTCCATACAGAATTCCAAAGGCTAGGTCAGTAGTTCTCAACCAAGAGTGATTTTTGCCCTCAAATGGATATTTGACAATACCTGTAAATACATATTTTTAAAATATATTTTTATTGATTTTTGAGAGGGAGATGGAGAGAGAGAGAGAAATATCAATGATGAGAGAGAATCATTCATCAGCTGCCTCCTGCATGCCATCTACTGGGGATCGAACCTGCAATCAGAGCATGTGCCATTGACCAGAATCAAACCCTGGACCTTTCAACACTATCCACTGAGCCAAACTGGCTAGAGCATACCTGGAGATATTTTTTTATTGTTGCAACTCAAGAGCTACTTCTGTCAACTAGTGGAGAAACACCAAGAATGCAGTTAAACATTCTACAATGCACGGGGCAGCCCCTAGAGCAAAGAATTTTCCAATCCAAATTATTAACACTGCCAAAGTTGAAAAACCCTTGACTAGATTGAATAAGGTAAGAAATCAAGTTAAGTCAGTTCTGAAAGTGAACAAGTATACACTCTGAAAAATCTTGACTCAAGAAAATAAATTTGTTCCTGAGGAAGGTAACTTTTGACTGGCCTCAAAACCTAGCTATAAAGAACAGCATTGTCTGCCAATATCAGGGACTATGTCATTTGCTTACCTTAGTTGCTGTACAAGCTCTGGACAGCTCTGAAATTAAAGAAATTATGTTAAAACATTAAACTACTTTAAGAACTTTGAAGACACCAAGAATTTTTCTCTTATTAGCACACATGCCAGTTATTAAGATATCAAAAAAAACATCTTCTTCCTACTTGATAAACCATGGGATTGGGACAGGAAATTAAAGATCAAAATATATGAAATAGTTTATAAAAGAATCAACTTTCAGTAGCTTGTTTAAAACATTAGGACCTCTCTTTAATGCCATCCTTGGAATCCATATCCAATTGTCTGGTTACACACAATTTAGATTAATCCCTTTTATGGGAGTTTTCAGAGACATCAGCTACATAAAAGATAATCTGTCCATCTTGATTATAAGTTCTTTGAGGATAGAAACTTTATTAATTATCTCTGAAACCCCAGCACCTTTTGTTCAATTGCGGCTCATGTTTGTGTATATGAAATGGAAAGGGTTTCTCTGGTGGTTCCACTTGTTAAAGCTTTCAGATGCTGTTAGTGATGGACCCATATCACTCTAAATCCCGTTCTAAAGCTACTGAGGTTGTAGCCTATCACATCACCTCTACAGTGGCTCACGAAAACACTAACCGCAAGCTATTTCAAACCCCAACAATTCATTTTAAAATTAATGTCCTAAGTAAACCCCGCAGATTCCAGTGAAATATCGACAACACATACCATAGGATTCTCCCCATGGTGAGCCACTTTTACGTCACAAAGCTGTCCTGCAGGGTCTAACTGCACCTCCACATAGAACATATCTGACGTGATGTAACATTCAGTGCCACTGGCACTGAGATGAGAGCCCAGTCTAGCAGGAACAAATCAAAACAAAAATTAATAGAAGACACGTAAATGAAGCCACCCAAAGTCAAGACTAAGTTTCACAGTTCTGCCTACAGATACTCTGCCTACTTACCCATTTTGTCTTGCTATAGACTCCAAACGATCAGTCATTGCGGGTAATGATGTTACTATGAAAGGGTGAAAAAAGGAAATCAAAGGATGCTCCAAATAATTTAAATTGTATTCTTCAAAGACCATCCTTTCAAAGTGATAAACACATTCAGTAGTTCGAATGCTTACAATTTGCACAAAGGTCATTGGTAAGGATTAGCTATGGCCTATGCAGTAGTAATAAAGGTAAAAAAAAAAAAATCTATTTGAGCCCTGGCTGGTATAACCTAGTTGGCTGGAGCATTGTCCAATACACCAAAAGGCTCAATTCCAGGTCAGGGCATATAACCAGATTAAGGGTTAGATCCTCGGTCAGGCGCATATGGGAGATAACCTATGGGTGTTTATCAATGTTTCTCTCTCTCCCTTCTCTACAAAGTCAATTTTTAAAAATATACTCGAAAAAACTATTGGATCTTTCTCTTCTCCCTTTTTCATTACTCATTTGGGACAGTTACCTTTAATTTAAAGAAGATACAGTTATCTGCTAATGTTTGACTAAGGAAGATTAACATCAAAGCCAACATAAAAACAGACATTCTCCCTTTCAGGTGTGCATTTCCTAAACTCTTAGGACTTGCAATCAGCGGAGAATGGACAGCTAACCCCACGAACCTGCCTCCAAGGCCCCTTTTCTCTGACTTTCCAGTGAGCCAAAGTAGCCCTGTTCGGCTCATTTCGTTCCTGTGACATTTCTAGAGAACAAAAGCAGCCCACCTAGACTCTCTCCTATTGCTTCTTCTATCCTAAGCCCTTTTTTGTTCACTGTCCCCAGCTTTAATAAACCCACTCTTTAAAATAATAAAATAATATGATAATATATAAATATGCAAGTGTTTATAGCAGCATTATTTACAATAACCAAAAGGTAGAAATAACCCATGTGTTGATCATGGCTGAATACATAAAATGTGGTATACACATACATTAAAATATTATTCAGCTTTCTTAAAAAGGAAATTCTGATACATGCTACAAAATTGATGAACCCTGAAGACATCATGCTAAGTGAAATAAAGAAGTCACAAAAGGACAAATACTTTATGATTCTACTATTATAAAACAAATTCTTACGGAAAGAAATTAGAATGGTAGTTGCCAGAAAGGGGGGAGAGGAGGAAATGAGAAGTTATTGTTTAATGGGTACACAGTTTCAATTTGGGAAGATGATAAAGTTCTAGAAATAGATGGTGATGATGGATACGCAGCTATGTGAATGTACCTAATGCCAATGAACTGTACATTTTGAAATGGTTAAAATGATAAGTTTTATGTTATGAATATTTTACCACAATGAAAAAATTAACCAATGTTCAGCTGAATAAGTTTCATTTGTGGTGCATCAGAGGAAAATATTTTTTTACTTCCATTTCAAAAAAAAAATAAAAGGGGGGGGGTAATTACAAGCATGACTAATCAAGCTCACAATTTAAATTTTATGTTTGCTTTCCTGTAAACATTGTCTAGAAACACAGTAAAAATCTTTTAGCGTTAAAATGTCCATTTTCTTATTGAAAATTAATTAGAAGAAAGCATGTAAAGGTGAAAAACAACAACTTTCCCCTGCTATCTATAGTTATGCTTCATCAATTATCTTTTTGAGTCTCTACCAGCCTTTAAAATAGGATCAAAATAAATGTCTCAAAACATCAGCTAAGAGTGCACCTCAATTCCATAATAAAAGCAAAACCAAAACCTAGCATAGAAAGTTGACCTGTTTCAATTTATATTTCTAGTGTAAGTGTAAAATAGTCCTTCTTAAACAGGTGGTTTTAAGAAATAAGCATATTTCAAAGATGATTACAAACCTTTGAGAGCTTTTTGCAATGTCTCCAAACAGCTGACCAAATGTTGGTGCCCTCCAGAACTCATCACAACTCTCTTCTCCTGTATTAAGTGTGAAAACATTTGAGGTAAAAATTAACCAAGCTAACAGTGTTTTAGATAAGCATATCTATTATCCTAATTGTAATACCTCAGAATACTCTACAGTCTGTATCTGCTTGAGCCCTGGCTCGAATCTATTCCATATATTTGAATATGTAGAATATATTCTCTATTCCCTCTATACTCTAGATCAGCAGTTGCCAACCTTTCGGACCTCATGGACCACCAGTAGTCCGGGGACCACCAGTTGGCAACCGCTGCTCCAAAGGTTTTCTTAAACCAGCGGCCGCCAACCTTTCTGAACCTCACGGACCACTAGTGGTCCGCAGACCACTGGTTGGAGACTGCTGCTCTAGATAGTCTATAGACTTTAAAAAAATATATTCTTAAATGTTACTCTGTCCATACAGCCAAAGGAAGAAAGTTCACATAGTACATGGATATATCCATATCCTTATACAAAAGAAAGGAAAAGGTATTACCAGCCGGGACCAGTTTGGCTCAGTGGATAGAGCGTAGGCCTGCGGACTGAAAGGTCCTGGGTTCGATTCCGGGCAAGGGCATGTACCTTGGTTGCGGGCACATCCCCAGTAGGGGTTGTGCAAGAGGCAGCTGATCGATGATTCTCTCTCATCGATGTTTCTAACTCTCTATCCCTCTCTCTTCCTCTCTGTGAAAAATCAATAAAATATATTTTAAAAAAAAAGAAAGAAAGAAAAGGTATTACCAGATCTAAAACTAGATAACCATGCCCTGGCTGGGTGGCTTAGTTGTTTGGAGCATTGTCTCATACATCAAAAGGTTGCAGGTTCAATTCTTGGTCAGGGCATATACCTAGGTTGCAGGTTCGGTCCTTGGTTGGGGCACAAATGGGAGGCAACTGATTGATGTTTCTCACATCGATATTTCTCTTTCTCCCTGAATAATCAATAAAAAGCATATCCTCGAGTGAGGATAAAAAAAATAAAGTAAGAAAACTTCAATGGGAAATTTAGGAAGAATCAAAATGTAATAAATAAGATCAGCCTCCTGTAGAAATAACTACCTCCTAAAGTTTACTCAGTTATATGGGGAGGCTCACAAGATTTGGCAATTCCCAAATTATTCTAAGTATACAACCACACAGTTGTCAAAGTAAAAGACTGCGTAGTCCAGAAAAGGGATTCCCAAAGAAAAAAAAATAATAATAATTGGCCGAAGCTGGTTTGGCTCAGTGGATAGAGCGTCAGTCTGCGGACTGAAGGGTCCCGGGTTCGATTCCGGTCAAGGGCATGTACCGTGGTTGTGGGCACACCCCCGGTGGGTGGTGCGCGCGAGGCAGCTGGTCGATGTTTCTCTCTCATTGACATTTCTAGCTCTCTATCTCTCTCCCTTCCTCTCTGTACAAAATCAATAAAATATATTAAAAATAATAATAATAATAATTGGCATACATTTTCTAATCCCATCTAGGGAAGAAGTTTTTCTCTGAACAACATTAGAGTCCCCAGAAATCTGAACAGTTTTATGATATAAGGATAGTTTTTCAAGCTTTTCCATGTCCTAATTCCTCTCTTTAATCTAATTCCAATTTCACAGAACAAACATCTGATTAATTAATAATCTGTCTTCTCTTGTACCTTGAATATGCAAGGAGGCACTCTGGATAATGAATATAGATAGTATTTTGGTAACTGGAAAGATAGACCCTCTGTTGTAAATAAATAAATTGGCATTCTGATTTGCATGTTAATCTACTGAGATTTTGTTAGTATATCAGTCGTAAACAATTCAAAGTCTCGATATAGCAGTAAAGCTAAGTTTCTGAATCTGCAAAAGTGAAAAGTAGACAACAGAAGTTATGGTAACCAAACCAAAGCACTGGTACCCCCCATAAAAGGGGGTCCTTAGTGGCCACCTGAAATTCCTCTATCTCATAATGTCTCTCTAATAACAATATCATTTATATAGCACATATTTCAAACTAGAATATGGCTGCCTTGTACTCCCAGTAAAAATTAAAAAATTACAATCTCTGAGTCCTCAGACTGTAAAAATTGCCATTCTTTTATTTAAAACATTTTTTAAAATATTTTTATTGATTTTTAGAGAGAGAGAAGGGGAAGAAAAGAGAAACAACAATGTGAGAGAGTAATATTGACTGCCTGTCTCCTGCACACCCTACACCAGGTATTAATCCATAACGATAGATGGCCCTGACCAGGAAATCAAACAGGCAATCTTTTGGTGCACGAGACGAGGCCCAACCAACTAAGTCACACTGGCCAGAGCAATTTAAATACCTTTTATGTACACAACCTTGAGCCAGCAGATGCATATATATTTGTAGAATTTAGTTAAAAAGTATTTAGCAACCTGACACTTTAATATCCATTATCTGATTGATTCATATAACAGAACTATAGCAGGTCCTCAAGTATCTTCATCTCATTATAACACTGAGAAAACAAAAATTGATTCCTGGCTGGGGCCACTGTGTGAAATTTGCACATTCTACCCATGTCTATGTGAGTTTTCTCTGGGTTTCACCCATGTCCCAACGGCACATTAGATTAACTGCCATGTCTAAATTGCCCCCATCTAACTGAGAATGTGAGTGTCTGAGAGTGTGAGAGTGTATGAGAGTGTGTGAGAGAGAGAGTGTGTGTGTGTGTGTGTGTGTGTGTGTTTGTGTGTGTGCGTGCGCGCACTTTGCAATGGAATGGCATGATGTCCAGGGTAGGTTCCCACCTTGAGCCCTGAGCTACCGGGATAGGCTCTGGCCACCCAAGACCCCGAATTTATTCCAACAAATTGGGAATATTATCTCACTTATTTTCATTAATATTTCTTAAATGGATGTATAGCTCACATTTCTCAGTTTAATATTTTTAAATATAATTTTATTGATTTCAAAGAGGAAGGGAGAGGAAGAGATAGAAACATCAATGATGACAGAGAATCACTGATCTAATGGGCTACCTCCTGCACACCCCTTCAGGGGATCAAGCCCACAACCCAGGCATGTGTCCTTGACCAGAATCGAGCTTGGGCCCTTCAGTCTGCAGGCTGACGCTCTATCCACTGAGCCAAACCAACTAGGGTTCGATGTTTAATATTAAAAGTTTTCTGGGTCTTTATTAAGAATTTCAGTGATGTTTTGTGATCAGAACTATGCCAATAGGAACTTAACTCTTACGTATATCAACAAGTGTATGGCAGTGGTCAGGTCAGCAAACTCATTAGTCAACGGAGCCAAATATCAACAGTACGAATGAAATTTCTTTTGAGAGCCAAATTTTTAAAACTGAAACTTCTAACAACACTTCTTCAAAATAGACTTACCCAGGCCATGGTATTTTGTGAAAGAGCCACATTCAAGGGGCCAAAGAGACACATGTGGCTCGTGAGCTGCAGTTTGCCAACCATGGGCCTATGGTAATATTGGTTTCACTATACATCATTTCGCTTAAAGTTGCAGTTTCCAAGAACCAATAAATGTTAACTAAGGACTTACTATATGTGAAAAAGCAAACTGAATTGTATGCCTCTATTTTCCAAATGAGAAAACAAACTCAGATATCTATATCTAACTATCTAACTATCTATCTAAAAGCCTAAGTGACCATCCAACTGGTAGCTATGACATGCACTAATCACCAGGGGACAGATGCTCAATGTAAGAGCTGCTGAGCCGCAGTGACTTGACAGCTGTGGTTCTCAGGTGATACACCCGGAACCAGAGAGGAAGGAGCCCCATTCGGGGATGTGTCATCCCTAGAACCGCCCTTTCGCAATCCAGGACCCCTCGAAGGGGTGTCGGAAAGCTGGTTTCAGCCCAATCTCCACAGGCCAGGCTGAGGGACCCGACTAGTGCACAAATTCGTGAACAGGGCCTTTAGTATTAAATAATTTGTCCAAGGTCATATAAGTAATAATCACTTGTGTCAAGCCTAAAACACAGGCCTTTGATTACAAATTCAGTTATTTTGCTAGTGCTGATCATTTTAAACACTAATAAATCTACTAAACTGAACTTATTCTGGACATAGAGTAAGATTTGGAGGAGAGAGGGTACTTTCATTGAAGTATATGGAAGAGTATATGAATCTGAAGAGATCTATGAATTATCACAAAGTAAATACATCCATATAACTATTGCCCAGGTAAACACAGAGAAGTAAAGCTTTCCTACATCACTTGATTACCACAGAATCATATGGATGAACTTTTAACATCCACTCCCTACACGTCCCAACTCCCTGCCTTCCATTTAACTAAGGGCTCAACATACTGCTGAATGCTGAATGACTCAGGAAGGAGTAGTACGACTGCAGAAAAAGAGGGGGACTGAGTGAACAGGTGAAACAAATTGAGAATGATTTGCAAAAAAAAAATAAAAAAAAAATATATATATATACATATATATATATATAATGAATGAATTGCAAACTCAATTCCTATTATAGAAACAATGAAAGTACTATCACATTAGTATCAAGTTTAATAGGAAGTGAAGAATAAATGTCTCTTTCCCAGTCTACCACGTGTGTTGCTTACTGGTGTATTTCTTAGCACCTTTGCCTAAAGTACCTCATGTACTATAACTCATGATTAATACAATTTTATAAATATGTCTCCTTCTTAGGTAGACTCTTTTTAAAAAAAAAAACATTTTTATTGATTTCAGAGAGGGAGGGAGAGCGAGATAGAAACATCCTATATAATAAAAGCCTAATATGCTAAGTGCCTGGTCATCCAGTTGGCCATTCAACCAATCAAAGCATAATATGCCAATGCTGGTTCAACCAGTAGCTATGATGTTCACTGACCACAAGGGGCAGATGCTCCAACTGGTAAGTTAGCTTACTGCTGGGGTCTGGCCTATTAGGACTAAGACTGGCCGGACATGCCCTGGAGCCCTCCCACGTCCCTCCCTGGCCCCGATTGTGCACTGGTAGGGTCCCTCTGCCTGGACTGGACCCTTTCACAACCCAGGGACCCCTTGGGGGATGTCAGAGAGCTGGTTTTGGCCTGATCCCACAGGCCAGGCTGAGAGACCCCACTAGTGCACAAATTCGTGCACTGGGCCTCTAGCCAATGATAAGAGAGAATATTGATTGGCTGCCTCCCCACACTGGGGGTCGAGCCCACAATCCAGGCATGTACCGTGACCGGGAATTGTACTGTGACCTCGTAGTTCATAGATCAGCACTCAATCAGAGCCACACAGGCCGGGCTTAGGTAGATTTCTTAAAACACCTGAATACATAGTGGCTATCAACTTTATGACAAATAAAACAAAAGACACACTATATTAGTTTGAAAAATTTGACACAGGGAATGTAGCTTATTAAATAATTATCAAAGCACACACACAATCCTCACCATGACTTGTCGCACAAGCTTAATTGTTTCACTCCAAGGCCTATTTTGGTTAAATTTTGCATGGAGCCGTTCCAAGAGAGAACTCATCTTACTCAGCTTTTCCGACTCTACAATATAAATCAAAAGACATTGTTAGAAACTCTTCTTTCAAGACCTTATAGTTTTTCTTGCAAACAACCCTCCCATATGTCATCCTGGTAAAAACTCAGTTAAAATACTTTTCAATATCATTTACTTCAAAACATACAAATAATTTACTTTTAGTGACAATAAGACACATAAATTATGGGCCTAACCTAAGGAACACCACAGAGCTTTCTATTCAAACTTTTAATTAGAACCAAAAAGAACCATCTCTAATTATGTTTCAAGATCAGGACTACAATTTAGTGACAAAATCATTTCATGAAATGTATGATACCCCTTGATGAGATAGGTAGAATACACATTTGAATATGGCCTTACTATGGTTAGTTGGTTTTTAATGTGAAAAATATAAACTTTGCTCATCTTTTTACATAATTTTAAGAGATCTGTCATTCAGATTTCTCCTATTTGAATTCAAACTATAACTATAGAGAGAGGGAAGATATCAATAGCTAAAGAATTAGTTTCTAGCAGAGGTAAAAGAAAGGTAGAAAGGACTGGTTCCTGAAATCAGTGGGTGAACAAATCTCCTTGCCCTAAAAGCTCCTTTTGAGAATTCTTGTACTACTTAGGATGAGCAATGGTCTATGCTAGAGATGACTGGCAATGCAAAAACACAATATGCCTGAAATAACATCTGTGAAAGGGTGTGAATAAGTTAATGTGGAAATAACTATCACATAAAGCAAAACGAGATATGCTCTTAAAAACAGGTAAACAGCTGATATCCTTATGGGGAGCAGGCCCAAGCCTTTCCCTTCCTTTCCTTCTCCCTCCCCCATCCCCCAGGCCCGTTACTTTTGCCTTTCCCTCTCCCAAGCTTCAAGGATCCTTCTTTTGCTTCTGTAACTTGTTTCCTGAGCCTAGCAGTCCAGTAAGCTCACTTCTACTTCTGTAACTTTCTAAATAAAATTTCTCTTATTAAAAGGAAAACACACACACACACACACACACACACACACACACAGATGCATTACTAATTGAAATTCAAAGGAGGAAAAGTTTATTAGTTGTGGAATGTTACAAAAAAGATGTCATTGAAAAATGAATAGGCCTAGCTGGTTTGGCTCAATGGATAGAGCAACGGCCTGCAGACTAAAGGATCCTGGGTTGGATTCTGGTCAAGGGCATATAACCGGATTGCAGGCTCGATTCCCAGTAAGGGGCGTGCAGGAGGCAGCCAATCAATGATTCTCTCTCATCATTGATGTTTCTATCTCTCTCTCCCCCTCTCCTTTCCCATCTGAAATCAATAAAAATATTTTTAAAAAATGAATAGAATGTTAGCAATCAGAGTTGAGGCAGTGACATCTTCTAAATCAAGATTCACGCTCCTCCCTCTAATACTGTCTTCTTCTGGAAAACTGGTTTGGGGGCTATTTCAGCCAGTTTACAGTTCTGGACACATTTCTAGGAATTCCCCTTTTCAAGACTCATTCCTTCAAGCATATTGTATATGGTAGGGGATATGGCAGTGAACAAACTAGACAAAATTCCTGCTTCATTTTACACGTGTCATTCCTCTGCACCCAAGGAGTGAACCTTTTTCCTTCAAAAAACACCCCCTTCTCTTCCTTGAGGAGCCTGAGAGACATCATTATACAAAAGTTCAAGTCAAACATTTTTGGAGCAACTATTTATGTCCCAGGAACTATACAATGAGTAAGGCAAGGTCTCTGATATACAAAGCTCAATAGAAAGTGGAGAAGACAAGTACAAAATAATACAGTGAGCAGTATTAGTAACAGAAAACTATGTCCAAAATACGAAGGAAGCACTTTAAAATTGGAGTAACTTTAGGGAATCAAAGTCAGAAAAGCTATTTTTCAGTTCTGAATTGGTCCAGTCATTGAAAGGATGAAAATCAACGCACACACAAGAGTACAGGTTCTGCACTCGTTGACGTTCCCTGCTGGCTTTTAATATACCAGAAGGACCTAGTCACTTCCCTCACGCCCAAACATCCTCTAGGACTTTGACACACAGCTCGGTATCCCTCTTCTTATGCCATTATTCACACGTTTGAGATTCACTCGCCCGGTCTTCCCCAACTTTAGGATTCCAATGCCCTGAGGCCCCCCCGATTGCCCTTAGCTAAGCAAGAAACCTCAGAAGTTGGCAGTCCCCGTCCCCACCATCAGGGAAGGCACAGTCAGAATCTAAAACTCACACAAATGCCGCCTCACGGACCCTGCGCCCGCGAGGGCGTGGCCTCCGCGAAGGCATCGGACCCCCAGCTCCTTTCACGAACTGGCTCCCCCCAGATGTGTCGCGCCCCCCTGCTTTCCCCTTCAATCACTCACCCTCGGTTTCCCCCAGAGCCTTCATCCTGACAGTGGGGAAGGCCTGACTCCTGCACAACTGGGTGAGCTCCTCCCCACCACTGACGGGGGGACCGAGTGAGTTGGGGCTCCCAGGAGGCAGGGCACCAGCAGTCCCCACTCTTCCCGAGAGGGCTCAGTCTGAAGTCCCCGGCGGCCAGAAGAGAAGGGTGCTCCCGGCCGCCGCCATCTTCCCCAACGGAACTTCCCAAAGATCGCGAGATTAACCGTGATCCCGCGAGAGAGAGAAAGAGGGAGGGACGCCGAGCTATCGTGAAAAGGATTAATGGTGTGCTTCTCGCGAGATTTCTTCCAACCGAGCCTTCCCCATAGATTTTGGTGGCCTTACTGCAGCTAGGAATGGTGCTTGGCAGGTGGTAGGTGGCCCAGCTCCTGACACATCTCATAGATAAAATGCATATCGTTGGGATGCATTGATAGGGTTGCCAGATAAAATGCGGAGCACAGTTAAATTTGCACTTCAAGAAGTAAACAAATATCTTTTTGGTATGAAAGTATGTTTCAAATAGCATATAACATGAGCCTAGCAACCTTAAAGTTGATGGAGAACAGAGAGCATTTTTCCAAGTGAGAATTTTTTTACAATATATTTTTATTGATTTCAGAGGAGAGACAGAGACAGAGAGAGAGAGAGAGGAAACAACAATATCAATGATGAAGAAGAATCATTGATCAGCTGCCTCCTGCACAACCCCCACTGGGGCTAGAGTCTGAAACCTGGGCATGTGACCTTGACCAGAATCAAACCTGGGACCCTTCAGTCCACAGGCCAATGCTTTATCCACTGAGCCAAACTGGCTAGGGCCCAAGTGAGAATTATTGTTTTGTTTTGTTTTTTAGAGTACACTTATTAAAGCTGGGGACAGTGAAACAAGGAAGGGCTTAGGACAGAAGAAGCAATAGCAGAGAATCTAGGTGGGGCTGTTTTTGTTCTCTAGAAATATCATAGGAACGAAATGAGCCAAGGTGGGGCTGCTTTGGGTCACTGGGAAGTCAGAGAAAAGCAGGCCTCGGAGACAGGTTCAAGGGGGTTAGCCCAGAACGAGCTGCCACTGCCTATTGCTCCCTTGGCTGCAAGTTTCCTGAGGACCCTGAGATGGAGAGAAAAGGGATGGGTGTGCTTCTGGGAGGGGGAGTGCTGATAGTTCATATTTTATACTTGATCTTAGCCAAAAGGCCGAGAAGGATGATAGTTCATATTTTAAATGCTAATTCCCTTTCTGTTGTCAAAGTGTTCTTCGTTCAACAAGCATCTATGGAGTCCTGGTACTTATGTATATTAATATAATATAAACATGAAAACACAGCCCCGGCCTTTGATGGGCTTATCTGATTTAGAGTTCTGAAAATACAATTTGTCACAATAATCATAGGTACTCAAAATTTGTTAATTAATTCATTATGCCAAAAATATCAATGTTAGATACACAGCTTCTATGTGGAAGCTCTCTATACATAGAAACAATAATATCTGTACTAAATATAGGTAGAAAAATTTAAACATTACAAAGCTTGAAAATATAGTAAACTTCAGCAAATGTTGGCCACAGAATAGAATGTTATGATTTCTCATCTAAAAATAAAAATGAAATGACATTGTTAGAAATTTGTACTCAAGAAGACAGAAGAGACATGTCATTAAACAAACAAAACAAAAAACAAAACAAAAAAAACATAGGAAGAATCATCCTATATGGCAAGAAGGGAACAATGGGCAAATTTTAAGTGACTAAGCTTTGAGGGTGACTTCAGAGGACTCTTTGAACATAAAATCTAAACAAACAAATTAGTTTGTGCTGGGTAGGAAATTATTATAAATTTAGTTAAATCTTTCTTTTTCTTTAATCCTCACCAGAAGGTATTTTCCCATTGATTTTTAGAAAGAGTGGAAGGAAGGGGAGAGACAGAGAGAAAGAAACATCTACATGAGAAAGACACATCCATTGGTTGCCTCCTGCACCTGCCCCAACCAGGGCCTGGGATTAAGCCTGCAACTGAGATACGTGCCCTTGACCAGAATCAAACCACCCGCTTCTGGGGCTATGCCCGAAACCAAGGTATATGCCCTTGACTAGAATCGAACCTGAGACCCTTCAGTCCGCAGGCCTACGCTCTATACACTGAGCCAAACCACTTAGGGCCAAAGATTTCTTTTGTGTACAGATTTATTGAGATATAATTGATAAAGAGCAGCTTTCTCACTTGCTTTGGGGATTTCCAGGGAAATTATAGTAATCACCTGGGGTTCATAGAATTGCCCTGACTCCCAGCCCTGGGAAAAGATACAAATAAACTAAATCATGCAGTCTTAGAATTTCTGAGTTTTAAGTTGTGTCTTTAAAATTTTTAAAAATTTTTATTGTTTTTTAGTTGTTTGTTTTTTGAGACGGGGAGTGGGGGAGGGAGAGGGAGAAAGAGAAACATCCACGTGAGAGCTGAATATCCATCAGCTGCCTCCGCCCGCCCCTACTGGGGATCAAGCCACAAGTACATTTGTACCCTGACCAGAAATCGAACCAGCAGCTTTTTACTGCCCAGGACAATGCTCAAGCAACTGAGCCACACTGGCTCCAGCAAGTTTAATTTTCTGTACAGTGAGGCAACCCTTATTTTACAAAACACAACAGTTGTTAGGCCAAACCATGCAGTTTAGAGTAGATTTTGTGTTTTATTTTTTTTAATATATATTTTTATTGATTCCAGAGAGGAAGAGAGATAGAAACATCAATGATGAGAGAGAATCATTTATCAGCTGTCTCCTGCATGCCCTCTGCTGGGGATCAGACCCACAACCAGGGCATGTGACCTTGACCGGAATCGAACCCAGGACTCTTCGTCTACAGGCCAATGCTCTATCCACTGAGCCAAATCAGCTAGGGCTAGATTTTGTATATTAACATTTGGATATAATTTGATATTTCCTAGAATAGATTTTTTTTCCAGCTTTATTGAGATATAATTGCTATTAGAGTAGAATTTTATGTACCAAACCCCAAAAGTGTAGTGCAATAGAGAGAGCTGGCCTAGGATTAAAGAAAGTGCCCCTGCTCCTGATACTAACTACACTTAGTATAAACATACTCCAACTCCTGAGTGTCAGTTCCATCCTTTAGTAATGCATATAATAAAACCCAACTAGCTACCACACAGGTTATTTACTAGTGTTTGTTCAGCTGATATTTATTGACAGGCTTAAGAGACTTCTGCAGAAAATTTCAAAATGCTATAAAAAAAATAAGAGGCCCTGACCGGGTAGCTTAGTTGGTAGAAGTGTCATCCTCATACACCAATGTTTTGGGTTTGAACCCCCGTGAGGGTCCGTCCTTACAGGAGTCAATTAATAAATGCATAAATAAGTGGAACAACAAATTGATGTTTCCTTCCTTCTCTTTCCCTTTCTCTCTCAATAAATAATTTTTTAAATATTTAAGATTTAAAAATTCAGTAAAAAGCTTCATTCATTCACTCACTAGGGGATCTCTATTATGCTTCCATGCTTCCGTGGGTAACAAACAGATAATAATTATAAATATAATTAAAGCTATTTAATTTGGATGATGAATTTATTTTTCAACAGTTCAATTAATACATTACCATAATTCCCTATGCCATTTCCACTTTTCCATTTTACTGTGGATGTGGGTGGATCTGGGTCAAAAACTTGATCCCAAAAGAAAAAAAATCAGAGTAATTTTGATGAATTCATGCCAGTGTCTGATAAGGCGCGCCAGTCACTTCATCTGTGGCCCATTAAATCTCATGCCATCTGCCATCAGCTCAGACACTGATGGGTTCTTTATTTATTTATTTTAAAATATATTTTATTGATTTTTTTACAGAGAGGAAGACGGATAGAGAGTTGGAAACATAGATGAGAGAAACATCTATCAGCTGCCTCTTGCACACCCCCCACTGGGGATGTGCCCACAACCAAGGTACATGCTCTTGACCGGAACCCTTCAGTCTGCAGGCCAATGCTCTATCCACTGAGCCAAACCGGTTTTGGCTGGTGGGGGCCTTTCTAGGCCCTCTTGCAGCAGTGATGGGAAGTTACCACACCTGAGTTCCAGTACTTAATTCTATATTTTCCTTATTTCTTTCTTTTCTTCATTATAGCATTAATTTGACTACTTCTATAGATAATTAAAAGTTGTCATTGTCCAGTCAGCATGGCTCTGTGGTTGAACGTGGACCTATGAACCAGGAGGCCAGCGTTTGATCCTGGTCTGGGCATGTGCCTGGGATGAGGGCTTGATCCCCAAAAGGGGACATGCCAAAGGCAGCCAATCAATGATTCTCTCTCATCATTGATGTTTTTTTTTTCTCTCTCTCTCTCCTCTCCTTTCCTCTCTGAAATCAATAAAAATATATATTTTTAAAAGTTGTCATGAGAAGGTAGGGCTTTTCATTTATAATTATAATTTATGCACTCAAACATTTAAGTAAAAACTTTTTTTAGTATCAATGTGGGATAAACAAAGCAACAAGACCATTTTCAGGGAGTGATTTTGAGAATAAATCCTATTTTCTTTAAAAAATATATATTTTATTGATTTTTTACAGAGAGGAAGAGAGAGGGATAGAGAGAAACATCGATGAGAGAGGAACATCGATCAGCTGCCTCCTGCACATCCCCTATGCAACCAAGGTACATACCCCTGACCTTGATCGAACCCAGGACCTTTCAGTCCATAGGCCGCCGCTCTATCCACTGAGCCAAACTGGTTTCGGTGGATCCTTCTATTTTTATTTAGAATGTTTTCTGATTCTTAATTTACTGATCAATCTTCCCATCTTTGCATAAACAAATCATATCTACTCTTCTTGGCCCTACTCAAATGCCCTTTAAAAAGCTTTCTCTTAACACTCCCAACCTCATTTTGAACCTAGGTAGTACTCTGCATCATTCTTGTGTCATTTATCACTTTATGTCTTCTGTTTTGAATATATTGTTTATATCCTCTTTAAGGGCCCTGAATGAGCACTATTATTCAGAGAAAGACGTTAAAATCTCACAGATAGCCCTGGCTGGTTTAACTCTGCCCACCGAAGGGTCCCAGTTTCAATTCCTGTTGGGGTCACGTGACTGGGTTGCAGGCTTGGTCCGAGGTGAGGGAGGCAGCCATTCAATAATGCCCTCTCATCATTGATGTTTCTATTTCTCTCTTCCTCTCCCTTTCTCTTTGAAATCAATAAAAAAATTTTTAAAAAAATTTTCACAGATTAATTTGCTGGGGGGAAAAAAGAATGAATAAGCTTAGAAAAGTCTTAACTTCCCTGTGCCTTAGTTTCCTGTCGTACACAGCCCTATTTCAGAGGTTTGTTGTGAAAATTGAATGAATGAGTTAATGTGTGCAAAGGAGTTTCAAAAAGTAAAAAATGAGAGGCAGTGTAATATACTATTTTTTTCTTGTGCATAAATATTATGCTTTTCTCATTCATAATTATAATCTGTGTGAAGATAAAAGGCTAAATAACTCCAGAAGAGCCAGAGATGATCCCAAGAAGTGATGAGCTTTCAGGTTCTTAGGGTTTTCAGTAGACTGGAAAGAGTGCCATACAATGAAAGAGCTTGTGCTTTAGTGTCAGACATGAATGTAAATCTCATTCTTAGCACTTTCTAGACTAGCTATCTTTGTTACCTTGAGTAAGTTATTTAAACTTTTTTGAGTCTGAGTTTCCTTATCTGTAAAATATGGATAAGGATATCGTGTTTTGCAGGGTAGTCTGAGAATTAGAGATAATGAATATATTATATGCTGTATAAGTTGTAAGCTTAGGAACTTGGGTTGAAATATTCCCACCTTTGCCCTGTTGCCAATTCTTAAAAAAAATATTTTTTTATTGATTTCAGAGAGGAAAAGAGAGGAGGGAAACATCAATGATGAGAGAGAATAATTTTTTGACTTCCTCCTGTACACTGCCTACTGGAGATCAAGCCTGCAACCTGGGTATGTGCCTTTGACCAAAACTGAACCCGGGACCCTTCAATCCGCAAGCAGATGCTGTATTCACTGAACCTAACTGGCTAGGGCACTGTTCCTAATATTTTTATCCTGTTACTGAACTACTTGAAGTGCTCTATTTAAGAACGAGAAATGGTTGTCCCTAGGTAGTTTGATTTACTTGCAGCAAATAAAAGAGATAGGGGATTCATATCTCAAACTTTTGCCTCCCAATGTTTAACCATTGCATATATTCACTATTTTGTCAATTCCACTGTTGATTTCTTCTTTGTGGTTGGCTGGTTTTCTGTCAAGCTTACCCTGTTTATAGCTGGGTTTGCAAAATACTGTGTTATGTTTTCAAATTTTTTTCTGGGCTACATTAAAAAATGTTTTCATTTTAACATAACTAATTCAGTTTTTGTTTTGTTTTGTTTTTGTTAATCTTGGCCAAAGAATACTTTACCACTGATTTTTTTTTTTTAGAGAGAGAGTGGAAGAGAGAGGGAGAGACAGAGAAAGGTCCTTGTGAGACAACTCTCACCTGGATTGGTTGTCTCCTGCATAAGCTGCGACCAGGAAGAAGCCTGGAACCGAGGTACATGCCCTTGATGAGAATCAAACCCAGAACTCTTTGGTCCTTAGACCAAGGCTCTATCCACTGAGCCAAACTGGCTAAGGCTCTGGGCTACATTTTAACAGCAAGAATAACATTGCCCTAGCCTAGTAGATTTGGCTCAGTGGATAGCCTGCCGTCTGAAAGTCCTGGGTTCTATTCCAGTCAAGGGCACATGTTGGTATTGTGGGCTCCATCCCCAGTGGGGGGAAGGGGGGAGGGGGTTTGGAGGCAGCCCATCTCTGATTCTCTCTCATCATTGATATTTCTATTTCTCTCCCTTCCTCTCTGAAATAAAAACAAAACAACAAAAAAGAATAGCATTTAGTAAAAAACACCCAGACGTTGAGGCCCGTGTCCTATCCATTGCAGCTGTAGTTGAAAATATTAGGTACGCGGACGCCTGAGGTACCTGAGAGTGTTTATTCAAAGAATTACCAATAAAGTTTTGAATTAAAAAGAAATTCTCCTACCTCCGTTTGCATAAAGTTTTGATCAAATGGGGAAACAAGGAGCTTATCGCGAGAATTTGGGAGATCGCGTTTTGTGCTTGGGGCCCGGTTCTCGCGTTGTTTGATCCAGCCGTAGAAAGAAGTAAAGCACGAAATACCGCGAGCTTAGTATTCTCGCGATATTTCCTGGGCTTGCCCCCTCCCCCCCCTCCGAGTGCCGTTTCGGTTTAACCTAGTGTGGGGTTGAGTCTGTGAGGGAGCGAGTGAGAGTGTGAGGTACTGAGGTGAGGCGGAGGCAAGAGAAGGAACTCCCTCAGGAGCGAGGGACAAAGGGTGTGTGAGGCACCTAGGCCGCGGGACCTGAGCGACGGGAAGCCACCCCGAGTCTGGCTACCGGGTAGGGGAAAGGCCCGTGCAGTCCTCATTGGGCTCCCGAGCCGGAGTCGGCGCCGCAGCCCAGGGCCGACGGCTTCCTACTTCCTCGACCTCGCCGGCCCCGGTGCCTGAGGATTGGCGCCGCGCGGGGAGGAGGCCAAACAGACTCGAGCGGCTGCTGGTTGTCTCGCAACCCCACTGCCGAAGAACTCTCATTTCTTCCCTGGCTCCTTCACCCCTACCTCATGTAGGAGGGTGCCGGCGGGTCGGGAGGGAGGAGGAGCCTGCGCCGCGGTCCCTTCCCTCCCCACCCCCGTCTAGGGGCGCTTTGGTGGGCGTGGGGTTGGGATTGGGGGGAGGGTGGGGGTTACTTTTTGGAGTGCTGGGGAACTTTTCCCCCCTTGGAAGCCAGGGGAAAGGGGATGCCCAACCCAGAGAGACATGGGGGCAAGAAGGACGGGAGCGGAGGAGCTTCTGGAACTTTGCAGCCGTCATCGGGAGGTGGCAGCTCCAACAGCAGAGAGCGTCACCGCTTGGCGGCGAAGCACAAGCGGCACAAGTCCAAGCACTCCAAAGACATGGGTTTGGTGACCCCCGAAGCAGCACCTCTGGGTGCAGTTATCAAGCCTTTGGTGGAGTACGATGACATCAGCTCCGATTCAGACACCTTCTCTGACGACATGGCCTTCAAATTAGACCGGAGGGAGAACGATGAGCGTCGTGGAGCTGATCGGAGTGACCGCTTGCACAGACATCGCCACCACCAGCACAGGCGTTCCCGGGACTTACTAAAAAGCAAACAGACGGAAAAAGAGAAAAAGCAGGAAGTCTCCAGCAAGTCGGGATCAGTGAAGGACCGGATATCATCAGGAAGTTCAAAGCGTTCCAACGAGGAGAATGACGACTATGCGAAGGCACCGATCTCAAAAAGCAGCAGCAACAAGGAATCCAGGTCATCCAAACTCCACAAGGAGAAGGCTCGGAAAGAACGCGAGTTGAAGTCCGGGCACAAAGACCGGAGTAAAAGTCATCGGAAAAGGGAAACACCCAAAAGTTACAAAACCGTGGACAGCCCCAAAAGGAGATCCAGGAGCCCCCACAGGAAATGGTCTGACAGCCCCAAGCAAGACGATAGCCCCTCCGGAGCTTCTTATGGCCAAGACTATGACCTCAGTCCCCCAAGATCTCACACCTCCAGCAATTATGACTCCTACAAGAAGAGCCCTGGAAGCACCTCCAGAAGGCAGTCCATCAGTCCACCTTACAAGGAGCCTTCGGCCTACCAGTCCAGCACCCGGTCCCCCAGCCCTTACAGCAGACGGCAGAGATCTGTGAGTCCCTATGGCCGGAGACGCTCCTCCAGCTATGAACGGAGTGGCTCTTACAGTGGGAGGTCACCCAGCCCCTATGGTCGAAGGCGATCCAGCAGCCCTTTCACTAGCAAACGGTCTCGGAGTCGGAGTCCACTCCCCAGGTGAGCTATTTGTCTAACAGCCCCTTTCTTTCTTAGGGTGGGTCATGAGAAACTGGCAACTAGTAATGTTAGGTTGGATGTGCCCATTATTTATTGACTAGAACACTTGACTATTGGCTAGTCACTCAAGTGAGTGAATCTGGTCTCCTCTTAACCCAGAATTTGAAAAGTGGAGAGTTACATGCCTAAAAGCTGCTAAAGGTAGGTACTTCCCCGCGGCAGGGTCTTCAGCTGCAAGCTCCTGTGTAAGAAAAATTGTGCATGGAGTTGATACTAGTTTCCAAAGTTTATTTTTTTTTTCTGTTGCTTTATTTTAAATTTTTAAAAAATCACATTGGTATTAGTGCTTGAGACCTCAATGAACCTGATTTGAGACGTAAGAAATTACAGGTTTTCACTTGAATTCTCTTGAAGCTGTTTGCCTGCCATTTGTTCTGACCAGTGTCTTCAAACTTGTTTAATTTACTCGTTTCCTAGGAGACAGTGTTTTGATAACTTACAAAGGCTCCTGTCTTTCCATAGATATTTCTAGTGGAAATTCAGCTGATTCGTGCTTTTTCCTTTTGATGGGAGAGCCTAGCAGAAATTGGTTCCAATGATAATTGGATTTTCTTTATAGCACCACCATTGACCTATTAAGATTTGCTGTATTCTGTGACCACTGGCAATTTTCAAAATCTTTCTCTGAAAAAATGGTAATAGTGCCTCTACTGTGTTATTTTTTCAAGAAAAACATGTTAATTTGAAATTTATTAGTTGGAGTGAATTTATCTATTGGAAACCACGTTCTTGTTTGTAGATGATGAAATTGTATCTCTCTTTTTGTGGACTCACCTTTGTCCACAAAAGCAGAACACGGGCTTTGGAGTTATACCTGAGTGGAGTCCTAATCTTGCTGTGTGTCCTTTGACAAATAAATTCTCCATGCCCAGGTTTTTTCACCTGTGAAATGGCAATAATGACTACCAACTTCTAGAGCTGTTGTAAGGATTAAATTAGTAAATACGAAGTGCATAGCACAGTGCTTGGAACCTGAAGCCAGTCAGCAAATTCTATGAGTGAGGAAAATGTTGAATACTTCTAGGGAAATTACTCCAACTTGAAAAAAACAAAACAAAAACAAACCATGTATATCTTTTATATGTCAATGTGAGTAATTTTTGTCGACTTACATTTATAATTATTCATAAACTAGTTTGAATTGATCAAGCCTGCTAAGTTCCTAGTTGTCCGGGTCTGAAGTTCCTTAGTTTTTCCTCCATTTCATACTAATTTTTCAAAAACAGAAAAGCTTAAAGAATTGTAGTAAGGACCCTAACATGTACCACCTACATTCTACAGTTAATATTTGCTATATATTTCATATCTATCTATCTATCGATTACCTTTTATTTTAATTTATCTTAAAGTAACCAATAATAGTATACTTCACTATAAATGTTTTATTTAGCCTGTATATCATTAGCTAGAGGTCATCAGCTAATAAGGGGTAAAATTTATATACAGGGAAGTGGGTTTCTTAAGTGTACCATTTGTAGGCTGTTTAATTTTTTAAGGAACCCTAAGAAATGAAATTTTTCAGAATTTTTCTTTTCTTTTGTTTAAGTGAAAGAGTTTCTTAGTGAAGCATTACACAGAAAGTGGCTATTCCACAGACAGTAGCCAAATACTTGTTTTCTTGCGGGAGTAGTTTAATAAAGTTGTTCTGAGAATTTTTATTGTTGCGGGGTTTGGGAATACAGAAGTGCATTGGGGTTAAAACACTAAAACGAGTTTCAGTAAGAACTGTGGCTTTGCAGTGATTCCTTTTGGATTCATATCTTAGGTTTTCTTCTACTCATTTAATTGGAACTAGTGCAGAAATGGTCAAAATAAATCAAGAAAGAATTGGAGACACATTATGATAATATAGGAAATAAATATAAGTGCCACATTATAACCCTAGAGTCAAATGCACCTTTTTGTGTGGTTTGTAGAGAGCATGATATGTTTGAATTGTGTATTATATATTTTTCCTCGTTTGTTGGAATTCCAAACAGTAAGTACAAAACTTTCTTAGAGTCAGAGTAGAGGAACATACAGATCCTTCTATGGTATTCTCTGTGTTTTTTCCTTGGGAGAGAGTCAGTATTAAACAAGCAGCTTGTTTTGAAAGACAAAATGCATTGGCAGAAATGCAAGGTCTTTGTATTTACTAGATTAGTGGTGATTAATAGTAGTAATTTCATTTCAGATGGGTGGAACCTAACTTAATTCAGGGAAAAAGTAAATTTATTTTTGAAGACAAAATTTTTATTATTACCTGAATTTACCTATATGCTGACAACCCCTTTTATTTATTATTTTTAAAATATATTTTATTGATTTTCTATAGAGAGGAAGGGAGAGGGATAGAAAGCTAGAAACATAGATGAGAGAGAAACATCCACCAGCTGCCTCAGTATCAGAGAGATACTGAAGATCTGGAATGGAAACAATTTATTTTAGACTACTGGGCAAATTATGTTTTGTCTAGTTACATTTTAGTGCTAATTCCCCCCCCCCCCACACACACACACCTTGAAGCCTAAGCACATTAGGCTTTTTTTAAAAAGCAAAAGGGCCCTAGATGGTTTGGCTCAGTAGATAGAGTATTGGCTTGGCCTGTGGACTCAAGGGACCTGGGTTTGATTCCGGTCAAGGGCACGTGCCTGGATTGCTCACTTGATTCCCTGCGGGGGCATGTAGGAGGCAGCTGATCAGTGAGTCTCTCTCATCATTGATGTTTCTCTCTCTCTCCTTTTGCATTCCTCTCTGAAATCAATAAAAATATATTAAAAAAAAAAAAAAAAAAAAAAGAGCAAAAAGAGTGCAGCTAGCATCGCTCAATGGTTAAGCATTCAACCTATGAACCAGGAGGTTATAGTTGGATTCCCAGTCAGGTCACATGCCCAGATTGTGGGCTGGATCAGGAGGCAGCTAATCAATGATTCTCTCTCATCTTTGGTGTTCCTATCTTTTTCTCCCTCTCTCTTCCTCTCTGAAATTAATAAAAATATATTTAAAACAAAATAAAAAATATAGATGGTTGGGTTTCAATTTAGAATAATCTGCCTCATAGATTCTAAAATGTTACTTCCCTATCCTTCCTTCCTTAATAATGAAAATAAAATGAACATGCAATAATACTTTGCTTTACCAGTTCCTAAAAAGTTTATTAGAAATCATTTTATATTAGAAAGTACCAAAAGCTATTATAGTTTTGGGACCAGTCAATTAAGTAGTTCTCTAGTTAAAATTTTAGATATTAGGCCTGTCTGATGTGGTTCAGGGGTTGAGTCATCGACCCATGCACCAATAGGTCACCAGTTCTGTTACTGGTCAGGGCACATACCTAGGATGTAGGCTGGATACTAAGTATGGGCATTCAGGAGGCGGCCAATCAGCGTTGATGATTCTCTCTTGTCTATGTTTTTCTCTCTCTTCCTCTCTAAAATCAACAAAAACATTTAAAAATTTTATATTTTGGTTAAAGATGCTAGTTTTAATTTCTTGATTGATAACCCCCCCACCCACACTTTGGTATAAAGTATGCCTTTTTTTTTTTAAATATATTTTTTATTGATTTTTTACAGAGAGGAAGGGAGAGGGATAGAGAGTTAGAAACATTGATGAGAGAGAATCATCAATCAGCTGCCTCCTGCACACCCCCCACTGGAGATGTGCCTGCATCCAATGTACATGCCCTTGACCAGAATCGAACCCGGGACCCTTCAGTCCGCAGACCAACGCTCTATCCACTGAGCCAAACCGGTCTCGGCTAAAGTATGACTTTTTATTTATTTTTATTTTATTTTATTTTTTTTAATATATTTTATTGATTTTTCACAGAGAGGAAGAGAGAGAGAGAGTTAGAAACATCGATGAGAGAGAGTCAAGTATGACTTTTTAAATCATGTTTTCACTTTATCAGAAATTTAAACCAAAATTCTAAAAGTAAACATTGTGAATATTGGTATTTTCTAACATGGGGAAAAAATATTGATCTTCCTTTGATTAAATAATTTTTAGTGTTATGTGAAAGAAATGTATTGTCATACAGGATTTAGTTCCTATTTCTTAAATAAACTTTTTTAGAATAGTTTTAGATTTACAGAAAAATTGTGAAGATAGTGCAGACTTCTTAAATGTCCTGAAATCCAGCTTCCCCATTATTATCTTATATTAGTATGATATATTTGTTACAATTAAACCAATTAATGAACCAATGTTGATTTATTATTTGACAACTAGTCTTTTTAATATTGCTAACTTAAAGTGTTTTTTTTTTTTAATGTTATAGTTCTTCATAATTTAACTGATCTATTTTTCTTTATATTGCTATAGCCTATTCATTGAACTGTTTTCTTTTTCCATTAGGAAATCCATGAAATCTAGAAGTAGAAGTCCTGTATATTCAAGACATTCATCCTCTCATAGTAAAAAGAAGAGATCCGGGTCACGTAGTCGACATTCCAGTATCTCACCTGTCAGACTTCCATTGAACTCCAGCTTGGGAGCTGAACTCAGTAGGAAAAAGAAGGAAAGAGCAGCTGCTGCAGCAGCAGCAAAAATGGATGGAAAGGAATCCAAGGGTTCACCTATTATTTTAGCTAGGAAAGAGAACAGTTCAATAGAAGCTAAGGATTCGGGTTTGGAGTCTAAAAAGTTACCCAGAGGTTTAAAATTGGAAAAACCTGCCCCAGATGCTGAACAAGTGAATGCAACACATCTAAACATAGAAGCCAAAAATTCTTTAGATACAGGGAAAGTAAAGGTGGATGAGAACTCTGAAAAGCATCCTGTTCTTAAAGATTTGAAAGTACAGGGATCAAGAGACACTAAACCCATGGCATTGAAGGAGGAGATTGTTACTCCAAAAGAGACAGAGACAGCAGAAAAGGAGACCCTTCCACCTCTTCCCACAGTTACTTCTCCTCCACCTCCTTTACCAACTACTACCCCCCCGCCTCAGACCCCCCCTTTGCCACCTTTGCCTCCACTACCAGCTACTCCACAGCAACCACCTCTGCCTCCTCCCCAACCAGCATTTAGTCAGGTTCCTGTTTCTAGTCCTTCAACTTTGCCCTCTTCTAGTCACTCAAGGACGTCTACTCTGTCCTCTCAGGCAAATTCTCAGCTCCCTGTACAGGTTTCTATGAAGACTCAAGTATCTGTAACAGCTGCTATTCCACACCTCAAAACGTCAACATTGCCTCCTCTGCCCCTTCCACCCTTATTACTTGGAGAAGATGACATGGATAGGTAAGTCTCATAGTTAACTGAGAAAACTTAACCTCTTGATCTAAATGTAATACATTTTTCACAAACTTTGTAAAACTACTCTAATGCATGGCTATTTAGAATGCTTTTATGAATAGGAAATGCCTTTGATGTTCAATTTTCAGTGTAAAAATCCTTATGATATTACTTAGGAGGAATTACAATTTGAGGCCCAGTAATCCTTTTTCTCATAAATCTATTTATTGATAAGGCTACTTTGGGTTGAAATTTTAAAAAATCAATAGCATTTTCTCAAACTTTATGTTGAAAATTTTAGTAGCTATAGAAATTTTTTTTAAATGATACAATTAAAACCTTATACTCTTCACATTTGCTTTAACTGTAGATATTTGATATTTCTGAGTACTTTAATATGTCTAATAATATCAACGTAATATAAATAATAATCTATCTATATATATATATAAAAGCCTAAGTGACCATTATAACTGAATGATTGGAATGACTGGAACAACTGGTCGACCAGTCGCTATGACACACACGGACCACCAGCAGATGCTCAATGCAGGAAGTGCTCCCTGATGGTCAGTGCACTCCCACATCAAACCTCCCCTGACGGGCCAACCTCCCAGGGTCCCTCCCCCCAGCTGGCCAGCCCCCCATAGGCAAGCCAGGCCTAAGGACCCCACCTGTGCACGAATTCATTCACCTGGCCTCTAGTTGGAGCAATAATAGTGGATATCCTCAGTGGTCCTAACATGTCTTATGTCTGTTTTTTTGTTTTGTTTTGCTTTGTTTTTCCTTCCTGGTCCAGGAGGAAAATAAGCCAGGTTTATTTATTTTAAAAAGTTCTGCTTTAAAAAAAACAACAACAAAACAATTATTCTATAAGAAGCAGAAGAACAATATGTAGAATCCTTACTAATTAGAATACAAATTCACAGTGGGATAATGAGAAAAACTAATTTTAATAAGCTTTCTGAGTATTGAGAATTGATAAATGATTATGCAGCATGAGTCTAATTTTATAGAACACATTAGGAAGTTTTTTGTTTTTTTTAAACCATAGACATTTTTTTTTAATATATATTTTTTATTGATTTTGTACAGAGAGGAAGAGAGAGGGATAGAGAGTTAGAAACATCGATGAGAGAGAGTCATCGATCAGCTGCCTCTTGCACACCCCCGACTGGGGATACGCCCACAACCAAGGTACATGCCCTTGACCGGAATCGAACCCGGGACCCTTCAGTCCCCAAGCCGATGCTCTATCCACTGAGCCAAACCGGTTTCGGCACATTAGGAAATATTTTTAATTTCTTGGCAGAACTAGCTACCCAACTGCCACCAAACACAATTTAGCAGTGACATATATCATGATAGCATTTATGTTACTGTTTTTTACTGAGATGCCCTTTTGTTGTCTAGGATATAAGTTTAGTTCACTACACCAAATTTTCTTTGTAAGCACAAAAATAAATACCATTGATTTTGCATACTGTTCCAATTCTTAACCCTCCATTACTTTTCAAGTGACATAGGTAACTTGAGCAGCGATATTTCAGCCATTTAGAGCTATATTTTTCCAGACTACTCTCTGTACCTTTTAGGAAGGTGCAAGTGCAATAAATGGGGGAAACCCCTTTTCCTAAAACTTTTTAAATCTGATTTTAAAGGAAAATTCCACATTCTCTTCTAATATTAATAGGTATTTATGAATTCTGCCTCATACTGAGAACTATAAAGATGAATAACAGAGCCTGAAATTTATGTAGAAATACTTATAGACACAACCTATATGTTTTTATAGTTTTTGTTGGAAAAGGAACATTAGTCAGTTTAACGTCATCCAAAGGGACCCTAGGCCATTATCTTACCCACAAGAACCACATTTAAATGTTAGTTTATTTAGTGTTTAGACCAATATCAGTGTGGCTAAGAATCTTTATTTTGAAATGTTTATTTAGCTAGCCAAATAATTATTGCATCTACTATCATGGGTCATGTGGAGTGCAGTTTTTCAGGTGGAATGATGTTGATAGATGGCACATAGGGGTTTCTATATTTCAGATTAGAAATGAAGGGTAAAGTAAGATCAAACAGTGCATAAGTATGCGTGGCTATCTTTAAAAATGTGTATAAGAGCCAAGACCGGTTTGGCTCAATGGATAGTCCTTGGCTTGGGGACTGAAGGGTCCCGGGTTCGATTCCAGTCAAGGGCATGTACCTTGGTTACGGGCATATCCCCAGTAGGGGGTGTGCAAGAGGCAGCTGATCGATGACACTCTCTCATCGATGTTTCTAACTCTCTATCTCTCTCCCTTCCTCTCTGTACAAAATCAATAAAATATATTTAAAAAAAAAAAAAAAGAATGTGTATGAGAGAGGATGAAGTGAGCAAACTATTTTTGTTATAGATCAATTCTGATTCTGAAAGAATAACTATACTTTATTTCATAGTCCAATGTAGTTATTTTTAAATTATGTTTATTACCATTCATTTTTCACTTATAAGCAAATTATTAAAGGTAGAAAAATGAAAGTGAAGATTTCTTTCAATATCAACTTGTTCATATATATATATGTTCTCCATGTGCCATTTATATCTATTTTTTACATGAAAAATAATTTTTATGTAAGAAAACTTTTCAGGAAGAAATTTAAAAGTTGTACATGGACCTCACTTAAATTCTCATGTGAAATTGCAGCAGCTTAAATGTTAAGAATATGATATACAGCTTTTTATTGCCTGCGGTGCTTTAAACAAGGCACACAGAATGCATTTAGTAAATATTGGTTATTTGATTGAATAAGTAAAACTGCTGAAGGTGTCAGAGTCTGTGTGAAATGACACAGGGCATGTAGTTAAATCATTTGGCACATGGATGACATAAAGCTTATATTAGAGGATTTGTCTTCTTTTAGTTAAATCCTTTTAGAAAAAGAATGAAACTTTTCTTTCAAACATAGATTGCACAGGAGTATATTATTAACCCAGGCATCAAATGCAGGAGTGAATTTAATTAATGGTATTGCAAAAACCTTTCAGATTCATGGTTTACATTTCTTGGTTTCTATAAAAAAAGGCTGATGTGTTCGGCAGATAGTGGAGGCTGGGGGAAGGTCAATTGAGGGGGAAAAAGAGACATGTTCTACTACTTGTAATATTTTAAACAATTAAAAAAAAAAAGACTGCCTGGCCAGAATGGCTCAGGTGGTTGAGTGTTGTCCTGTGCACCGAAAAGTTGCCAGTTTGATACCCTATCAGGGCACATGTCTGGGTTGCGGATTTGATCCCCAGTCAGGTCGGAGGTTGGGTTAAGGCACATAGGGAAGGCAACCAATTGATGTTTCTCTCTCACATCGATTTCTCTCCCTTTCTCTCTTCTTCCCTTCCTCTCTCTTAAGAATGTACTCAAGTGAGGATTAAAAAAAAAAAAAAAAAGCAAAGACTGCCAAACACCCATTTTAAAATAGTATGTTTTTCATGAACATAGTTCATGAGGATCTCTTGCTTTGAAAGAGAGATCATCTGTATAAAACTTTCATTTAACCATATAGAGTTTATAAATCTTCTTTTTGGATGCCTGGTTTATTTGGAGTTTATTAGACTTCTGTAGAATCTACACTATTCCTCTTTTAAAATATATTTTTATTGATTTTAAAGAGGAAGGCAGAGGGAAAGAGATAGAAACATCAACGATGAGAATCATTGATCAGCTGCCTCCTGCATGCCCCACACTGGGGATTGAGCCATAATCTGGGCATGTGCCCAGACCGGGAATTGAACCATGATCTCCTTGTTCATAGGTCAACACTCAACCATTAAGCTACACTGGCCAGCCTACACTATTCTTAATGGCTGTTTATTTAAAGTATTGAGCTCTTATAGAAAAGAAGGTATCTTTATGAGCATTCACAATTGATTTAAGATTTTGCTAATAGAATGCTTAGTTCTAATTTTAAAAATATATATTTTTATTTCAGAGAGGAAGGGAAAGGGAGAGAGGGATAGAAACATCAATGATGATACAATCATTGATTGGCTGCCTCCTGCATGCTTTACACTGGGGATTAAGCTCATTACCTGGGCATGTGCCCTGACTGGGAATTGAACAGTGACTAGGTCAGTGCTCAACCATTGAGCCACACTGGCTGGACTGTTTCCAATTTTTAATGTATCAGACACGAATTTGCGTTTGTGTGTGAGAGAGAGAAAGAGAGACAGAGACAGAGACAGACACACAATGATTTGTTGTTCCACCTGTTGATTCATTCAGTGGTTGATTTCTGACTTGCAATCTTGGTTTTTCAGGACAATGCTCTAACCAACTGAGTACCCAGAGTTCAACTCAAATTTTTTATTGAAGTTTGTAAGAATAAATCAATTTAAATCTGTTTTAAGTGGAAGAGGATAAATTGTCATATTTAAAGTTCATGCTATTAAATTTTTAACATAATGAAGAAATTTTCTTTTTTTAAATATATTTTATTGATTTTTTACAGAGAGGAAGGGAGAGAGATAGAGAGCTAGAAACATCGATAAGAGAGAAACATCAATCAGCTACCTCCTGCACACCCCCTACCAGGGATGTGTCCACAACCAAGGTACATGCCCTTGACTGGAATTGAACCTGGGACTTTTTAGTCCGCAGACCGACGCTCTATCCACTGAGCCAAACTGGTTTCGGCAGAAATTTTCTTTTTAAATAATTCAAAAGGAATTACACTTTTGAACAATAAAGACTTCTTATTAGAGGTGTTTCTACATTGTACAGATTAAATTTCATCATAAATTTCAAGAGGCTCTTGGGAAGTGGGGGAATTTGGGGAGAAGTCAGTAGGGGGGAAAAGACTTATTTAATACTTTAAACAATAAAGAATTAAAAAAAAAAAAAAGACGTTTTAAAAATATATATTTTATTGATTTTTTTACAGAGAGGAAGGGAGAGGGATAGAGAGTTAGAAACATCCATCAGTTGCCTCTTGCACACTCACTACTGGGAATGTGCCTGCAACCAATATACATGTCCTTGACCAGAATTGAACCTAAGACCCTTGAGTCTGCAGACAGATGCTCTATCCACTGAGCCAAACCTGCCAGAGAGAGAGACTCTTAAACTTCAGACAGTCCTGGATCTTGACAACTTTTATACATGAGCTCTAGCCAGTGGTCTTAGTGGTCAGAGCGTGGGCCTATGCACTGAGGGGTTGTGGGTTTGACTCCTGGTCACAAAAGCACATACCCTGGCTGCAGGTTTGATCCCCAGCCCTGGTGGGGTGCATGCAGGAGGCAACAAATCGATTTGTCTCTTTCATATTGATGTTTTCTCTCTTTCTCCTTCCCTCCTTTCCACTTCCTCTTTCAAAACAGAAAAATAATGGAAAAAATAATCCTCTGGTGAGGTTTAAAAAAAATTATACATGAGTGTTATTCAATCTATTCACCGTAGGTGAGTTGTCTAAAGATAAAAATTGGGAACCAGGAAGTACTGATATTAAAATAGTTCATTACTTCTTGATACTGGATTTTTAAGTAATGACTTAAGAGTCAGTGTCTGCTTCCCTGTGTTAGAACATCTTGACATCCGTATGTCTTCAGAACTATAGAGAGTTATATTTTACTGAGTGCCCTACACTAAAGGCTAAAGACCATAAAGTTGTTAAGCATTGCAATTTTATGGGCCCTCATTCCAAAGTTTTTTGGAATATTGGAATTTGTTGAAATAGTATTTGATCCATATTCAACATGTATGTCCCGAATTAATAGAATATACACATCCTGTCAAACACTTAATTCTTTCTTGAAAAAAATGCGACTAATGTGATTTTTTTTTTCCAGAAGCAGTGTACATTTTCACAGTAGCAAATTATATTTGAATCCATAAATTAAACCTTGGATGAAAACAAAACCTAACTATAAAACATAGACTGAACTTACATGAAATGATGGTGACAGAATTCAGATACTTTATTCTGGTGAAGCAGAACCAAGAGCTAATGTATTTCTGAGTCATGAGGAATTGAAATTTACAAAGAATATTTTGCTAACCACTATGCTGTACGCCTGAAACTAATACAAAATAATATTGAATGTAAACTGTAATTGAAAAATAAAAATTTGAAAATAGTTTCTTGGGAATAAACAATATCTGACATTAGAAGTAAGGAATTTTCTTTCCTTGGATATCTTGAAAATTGGGGAAAATTTTAGAATATATATTGTTTCCTGACTCAAGAGTTTCCTGGTAATATGATTTGTTCTCAGGGTAGAAAAAATAGTGCAAATTGTACAATAACTATCAGTAATTTAAAGTTCATATGATCATTTTGCACTCCATTTTTAGTTGATCTGAGTACAAACTAATCTAGATTCTATTCTGTCTGATTTACAGTAGCTTAAAATGATGAAAATTTGTAGGAAGTATTAGCTTTTGAGTTCTTTCACACACAAAGGGCAGCAGTATTCTTCAAAAAGGTACATTGCAAGAGTAGAGCTATTCTTTATGAAACATATTCATGAAAGAATGTGTTTCATCTTCTAAGATCTTTTAAGAATTCCATCCCCTGTAGTTATCAACTGCATGTTCCCATCGGATGGTTCGATTCCCAGTCAGGGCATATGCCTGGGTTACAGGCTTCTTGATTCCGGTGGGAACATGTAGGAAGCACCTGATTGATGTTTCTCATCAATGTTTCTATTCCTCTCTCTCTCCCTTTCACTTTCTATAAAAATCAATATAAAAATCTTTAAAAAAAAACAAAAGAAACCCAAAACCTAAGAATCTTGGGAAGGATATTAAAGGATGTTAAACTGAACCAGCTTAGTAGGAGTAACTATCCATAGAGCTTATTTACTAAAGAAAAGTATTGCTTAGAGTAGCAAAAGTATAAGCCTGTCTTGCATGTTGTAAAGCTGTTCAAAAGTAATTCAGCTCAAGTTTTTTTTAATGGAAATGTAATACTCAAGTCACAATCTACTTTAAAAAGAAAAAGGAGAATATGTTTTTTTATAACCACTTAAGTCAGTATACTTTTCACTAGTTTTGATTTCCAGCTTAGCTTTATTTCTTTTTCCGAGTTCTAAAATACTACTTCCTTTGTCCAAGTTCTCTCCACGTCTTTAGCGATATGGTAGTGTTACATTGTTGAGCTTTCTTTCGATGTTTAAATCTTTGCTGGTTAAAATATAGAGTAGGTTTGATGATGCCATGAGTTGTAGTGATACTTTGCAAATTTAAGATGATTACTTTCTACATTTTATTTCATCTCAGTAAAAATCCAAATAGAATCTGGCCTATGTGGCTCATTGTTTGAGTGTTGCCCCATGCACCAAGAGGTTTCTGGTTCGATTCCCAGTCAGGGCATATGCCTGGGTTACAGGCTTCTTGATTCCGGTGGGAACATGTAGGAAGCACCTGATTGATATTTCTCTCTCATCAATGTTTCTATTCCTCTCTCTCTCCCTTTCACTTTCTATAAAAATCAATATAAAAATCTTTAAAAAAACAAAAACAAAAGAAACCCAAAACCTAAGAATCTTGGGAAGGATATTAAAGGAAGAGTTTGTTAAAGGACTTAGAAGTAATATTCCAAAATTTTATTTTATATATATATGTTTTATGGATTTTTTTTACAGAGAGGAAGAGAGAGGGATAGAGAGTTAGAAACATCCATGAGAGAGAAACATTGATCAGCTGCCTCCTGCACCCCCCTCCACTGGGGATGTGCCTGCAACCAAGGTACATGCCCTTGACTGGAATCTAACCTGGGACCTTTCAGTCCGCAGGTCCATGCTCTTATCCACTGAGCCAAACCAGTTTTGGCATCTTTTTTTTTTTTTTTTTTTTTTTTATAATATATTTTTGTTGATTTTTAGAGAGAGCAAAACATTTGTTGGTTGCCTCCCGTATTCACCACAACCTGGGCATGTGTCCTAAACAGGAATTGAACCAGTGACCTTTTTAAAAATAATTATTTTTTTTAAATATATATTTTTTTATTTCAGAGAGAAAGGGAGAGGGAGAAAGAGATAGAAACATCAATAATGAGAGAGAATCTTTGATCAGCTGCCTTCTACATGTTCCCTACTGAGGATTGAGCCCACAACACAGGCATGTGCCCTTGACCAAAACCAAACCTGGGATCCTTCAGTCCACAGGCTGACTCTATCCACTGAGCTAAACCAGCTAGGGCACAGCGACCTTTTAGTTGCGCAGGAAGACACTCAACCAACTGATCCACCCCAGCCAGGGATATTATTTCTTTAATATATTATAAATTTCTTTTTGCAAAATCTAAGTCTTTTTAACTTAAACTCCTTTTTCTGACTTTGTATTATGGATTTTTTCTTTTAAAAGTAAAATCTTTGTAATCTTTCAATAGCCAGACATATAATCTTTGATAGTTTTATTTGCATATCCTGGAAATAATTGTGATCTTTTCTTCTCTTCTTTATTGTTTAGTCCAAAAGAAACTCTGCCTTCAAAACCCATAAAGAAAGAGAAGGAACAAAGGCCACGTCACTTACTCACGGACCTCCCTCTCCCTCCAGAGCTCCCTGGTGGGGATCCTTCCCCACCAGACTCTCCAGAACCAAAGGCAATCACACCGCCTCAGCAACCATATAAAAAGAGACCAAAGTGAGTTTTTGTAGGGACATAGCTTTAAGTACAGCTTTTATTACAGTGAAGAACTTTGGAGCTTACATCTCACTTTCTTTTACAACCTACATCAGTAGGATCATACGTGTTTCCCTGAAAATAAGACATCCTCCGAAAATAAGACCTAACACATGGGAAAAAAAGACATCTCCTAAAAATAAGATCTAGCGCATCTTTGGGAACAAAATTAATATAAGACACTGTCTTATTTTCGGGGAAACAGGGTAGAAGATTGAGCCTAATGTATATCTACTAGAGGCCCAATGCACAAAGATTCGTGCAAGAATGGGCCTTCCTTCCCCTGGCTTCCTGCACTGCCTTCGCTCTGGAGCCGCCTTTCTGCCTTCCCAGGCTGCCCAGAGGCCTGGAGCAGCTGGCTTGGTGTGGAATGCTTGCGTCATTGAATGGTGATGACACAAGTGTCCCACCCCACCCCCAGCTGCTGGGATTCTGCATGTGCAAATTAACCCACTATCTTTGTTGGGTTAATTTGCATACTCACTCCTATTGGCTGGTGGGCATTGTGAAGGTACGATCAATTAACATGTTACTCTATTAAATAGATTATTTTAATGGATAAAAACTTACTACTTAGGAGACCCATTCATCTACATCCACAGTTATGTAGCTTTTAATTATTTTTTAAGAAAAGCAATAATTTCCCCAATCCAAATATACCACAAACATTGATCCCATTGTATCTTTTGAGTTCATAATATTTAAAGTATTGAAGGAAAAATAAAAAATCCTTTATACTCAGGGTGTGTAAGCCATGCACATATTAATGAAATTAATAGATGTGGGATTTTTTTTCTGTAATCACATAAATTGCTACACCATAAATTTAGTAGTATCTGGGTTTGATCTTCTGATTGTTAGCATTCCTTTCTTAATAAAAAGTTACTTTCAGTGAAATCGGTTTGGCTCAGTGGATAGAGTGTCGGCCTGCGGACTAAAAGGTCCTGGGTTAGATTCCGGTCAAGGGCATGTACCTGTGTTGTAGGCGCATCCCCAGTAGGGGGTGTGCAAGAGGCAGCTGATCGATGATTCTCTCTCATCGATGTTTCTAACTATCCCTCTCTCTTCCTCTCTGTAAAATATCAATAAAATATATATTTTTTAAAAAGTTACTTTTATTGAGCACTTATTTCTATTTTTTTATAAATTATTTTTTGAATATATATTTTATTGATTTTTCACAAAGAGGAAGGGAGAAGAATAGAGAGCTAGAAACATCAATGAGAGAAAATCGTCGACCAGCTGCCTCCTGCACACCCTCTACTGGGGATGTGCGCAACCAATGTACATGCCCTTGACCAGAATCGAACGTGGGATCTTTCAGTCCGCAGACCGACGCTCTATCCACTGAGCCAAACCGGTTTTGGCTATTTCTATTTTTATTGTAAACCGATGATGAAGGGATTCTTTCCCCATTCTATAGTTGAATAAGCAAATACTCAATATAGGTCAGAAACCAAGCAGCAAATCTATTTTATCTTGAGTCTTCCTGAAGTAAAAATATCTTTGTTTTAGCCATTGTGTGAGACTGTTTAAACTATTTCATATTATTTAATTCCTACCTTTTTAATAAAAAGATTCATAGACTTATGAGTTAGAGAAATCATGAAAGAAAGAAAAAATTAATTTTAAAAAACAACTGTTTTTGTTTTTAATTTTGTTTTGTCATTTTTAGAATTTGTTGTCCTCGTTATGGAGAAAGAAGACAAACAGAAAGTGATTGGGGAAAACGCTGTGTGGACAAGTTTGACATTATTGGAATTATTGGAGAGGGAACCTATGGCCAAGTATATAAAGCCAAGGACAAAGACACAGGTAAATATTGCCACGAAATTTAGATGGCAGGTTAAAAGTTAGTAATACTGATGTCTTAAGTAGATCTATTAAAAGTAAAGTTTGAGTTCTAATTTGGTCTCTGAAATTTACTAAATAGACTAAAATTTCCCAAAAGAATAGTATAATTATTACAGTTTAAAAACCCTCCTCTTTTTCGTTGTCTTTTGTAAATGTTTTATAATAAGTTTGCTTAGGATTTTTTTTTTTTAATATATTTTATTGATTTTATACAGAGAGGAAGGGAGATAGAGAGTTAGAAACATCGATGAGAGTGTCATGGATCAGCTGCCTCTTGCACACCCCCTACTGGGGATATGCCTGCAACCAAGGTACATGCCCTTGACCGGAATCGAACCCGGGACCCTTCAGTCCCCAAGCCGACGCTCTATCCATTGAGCCAAACCAGTCCCGGCAAGCTTGCTTAGAATTTAAGAGAGCTTAAAAATAAATAAAATGTGCAAATTGCTTTTTGTTTGATAAGGGGTTTAGTCCTTGAAGATAAAATAATATAGTTGAATTGGCGTATTTTAATAACCAAAATGTTTAAACCTTATTATGGAATTTATAAAAATTCAAGTCTAAAAGAAATAAATGATAAGAAAGGAAACTTATGGATTTGTTTTTTAAGATAAAAATGCATTAACACAGGCATTAAGTCAGTCTTTCAGAGCAAGGGCATATATTGACTAGATAGTAGCCAAAAAAAATGCTAGTTGATACTATAATAATTTGAATTTATTGTGACAGGAGAGCTAGTGGCCCTGAAGAAGGTGAGACTAGACAATGAGAAAGAAGGTTTCCCGATCACAGCCATTCGTGAGATCAAAATCCTTCGGCAGCTAATTCACCGAAGTGTCGTTAACATGAAGGAAATTGTCACAGATAAACAAGATGCACTGGATTTCAAGAAGGACAAAGGTACAAGCAAAGAGCTGTGTACAGGGTAGACTAGTACATCTTATTTTTATTTCTTAACATGTTTGCCTGTTTGCATTGTTTATAGTTTTTACTAAACGCCAACTTTTTTCTTGAACCTATAGCAGAATTAAGATGTCAGTTAGCATATTGTTTTTGTGTTGAATAATGCTTATTTTATAAAATGTCCATTTTTCAGTGTACTCATGTATTTTTAGAAATTATTGTTAATTATTAAAATTAGAGTTTGCTGTACCACCTAAAGTCTTTTTTTTTTTTTTTTTTTTTTTACAAATATAACAATTATGGAAATTAAAACCCAGATTTATCAGTTACTTTCATTTTTTAAATTATAGTTTACAAACAATATTATATTGCTTTCAGATGTACAGCATAGTGATTAGACATTCATATCTCTAATGAAGTGATCGCAAGTTTAGTAACTGTCACCATGCGTAGTTATTACAATTATTATTGGCTATATCCTCTATGCCGTACATTATATCCCTGTGACTAATTTTATAATTGGCAATTTGTACTTAATTCCTTTCACCTTTTTTGCTTCTATTCTCATGCCTCACCTAACTAGGAGCCATCAGTTTGTCCATCATATCTATCAGTTTGTTTCTTACTCTTATTTTTACATCATCCCTTCTCTTTATTGTTTATATGCATCCATATTTTTACATAGTTTTGCACTGATACAGTTTAGAATTCAATACAGGTATTTCTAAATCTTCAGGTTTGTTTTCCTTGATTTGTAACTTTTGTCTATTTTGGTGATAAAATTGTTTTTTTGTTTCCATACTTACGTTTGAAGTAGTCTGTGTAGGACATCTAATATACTTTTATTGAAATAAGTCTGAAGATTTAGAGATGGGCAGCTATGAAGAATGGAATATGTGAAGATAATATGAAATCTTATGAGAGAATATGATTGGGAGGAAAACGGGATTAAGAATATATAAACTTTGCCTTAGCTGGTTTGGCTCAGTGGATAGAGTGTTGGCCTGTGGACCAAAGGGTCCCAGACTCAATTCTGGTCAAGGGCAGGTACCTTGGTTGCAGGCTTCTCCCTGGACCAGGCCCTGATAACGGCTTGTGCATGAGGCAACCAATCTATGTGTTTCTCTCAATTCAACGTTTCTCTCTGTCTTTCTCTCTCTTTATTCTACTCTCCCTAAAAATCAATGGAAAAATATCTCCGAAAAATATCCCTGGTTGAGGATTAACCAAAAATAATATACAAGGTTACAGTTGTAAAATAAGTCAGGGGGCCCTGCTAGTAATGCTCAGTGGTTGAGCATCGACCTATGAAACAGGAGTTTATGGTTCAATTGTGGGTCAGGACACATGCCAGGGTTGTGGGATCGAACCTCAGTAGGGGGGTGTGCAGGAGGCAGCTGATTGATTATTCTCTCTCATTATTGATGTTTCTATCTCTCTCCCTTTCTCCCTGAAAGCAATAAAAATATATTTTAAAAAAGTAAGTCAGGGAGATGTATAGCATAGGGAATATAATTAATGATATTATATTAATTATGTGTACTGACCAGTGATTACTAGACATACTATGGTGATCACTTCATAAAGTATATAACAATTGAATCTCACTATGTTATATACCTAAAGCTAATATAATATATTATATGTAATATAATATAATACAATATAATCAAAACTAAATTTTACAAAAGTAATTGAAGTACATAAATTTAGAATGTAATGGATTAAGCTGGACTTATTTATATAGTCTTAAAGATATTAGCAATAGGGAAGTAGCACTTCTTTAGTTTGGTAGAAGTACTTTTAAAGTAATAAAAAGGGAATTCTGCTTATGTAATAGTGTTTAGATAAATTTATGAAAGTTAGATCTGATACTGGGTTTATTTTTGGGAATAATCTAAATATTCCACGTTAGAGAGGAAGGGAGAGGTATATATAGAGAGAAACATCAATAAGAGAGTAACATCATTGATCGGCTTCCCCTTGCATGCTCCCTACTGAGCCCGAAACTTGGGCATGTGTCTTGACCAGGAATTGAACTGGCATGGATAGATGCTCAACCACCAAATCACACAGGCTGGGCTAAATTAGTTACTTCTTTATTTTATTTTATTTTATTTTATTTTTAAAAATATATATTTTATTGATTTTACATAGAGAGGAATTGAAAGGGATAGAGAATTAGAAACGTCGATGAGAGAGAAACATCGACCAGCTGCCTCTTGCACACCCCCTACTGGAGATGTGCCCGCAACCAAGGTACATGCCCTTGACCGGAATTGAACCCGGGACCTTTCAGTTCGCAGGCTGACGCTCTATCCACTGAGCCAAACCGGTTTTGGCTAGTTACTTTTTTAAATAATAAAATAATGGATGGATGTGATGCATGTCCATTGTGGAAAAATTAAAAATATCTCTCTATAAAAGGCTAATATGCAAAGTGTCCCTCTACTCATCTTACCAGTCGCTATGATGCACACTGACCACCAGGGGGCAGATGCTCAATGCTGGGGCTGCCTAGTTGCAGTGACTTAGCAGCAGCGGTTCTCGGGTGACACACCCTGAAATCAAGGAGGGAGTGTGATTTCACCTTCCGCCATAGGTTTGTTACTGGGACACTGTCGGCCCCAAATCTGGTTTACTGCATTTACACTTGCATTTGCGTCCCACACCTTGTAATGACAGCAACTTTGCAGAGTGTCCTCTTGCACTCCAGGACCCCTTGGGGGATGTTGGAGAGTCGGTTTCAACCTAATTCCTGTAGGCCAGGCCAAGGAACTCCACCAGCTGGAGGGACTCCGCTCACTCTGCAGATGCCCTCCAAGCCACCCCAGGTGTAGCCAGCTGGGGAGGGACCATGGGAGATTGGCTGCAGGGTGTGTCCAGCCCATCTCGCCCAGTCTCACCCTGCTGGCCATTTTCTAATTAATTCCCTTTCAATGTGCACAAATTTGTGCACTGGTACACTAGAAGAATAAGAAAAAGAAAATGGCAATCACTTTTCTCTACTCCAACCCAGTATACCATTTTTAGAACTACTATAGTATTAGCATTTTGGCCTATTTCTTTCTAGTACTTTATGTTATATATTTATCTTTTTAAAAAATATATTTTATTAATTTTTTTTTTACAGAAAGTAAGGGAGAAGGAGAGAGAGAGTTAGAAACATTGACGAGAGAGAAACATCAATCAGCTGCCTCCTGCACACTCCCTACTGGGGATGTGCCCGCAACATGCCCCTGACCAGAATCAAACCTGGGATCCTTGAGTCCGCAGGTGACGCTCTATCCACTGAGCCAAACAATTAGGGCTATATATATTTATCTTAACATTACTGGGATCAAAGTATAGTTAGTGTTTTATAGCTCTCATAAGTAGTTTCTCATATAATTAACATGTTTTAATGATTGTGCGTAAAGATAGATGAATCCAAATTTACTTCATCAGTCATTGTTGAACCATTAATTGCCAGTTTAAAAATATATAACTCCATTGAACATCTTTATACATAAATCTTTATATTTAGATTTATTTCTTAATATAGTTTCTGAAATGTAGAATTATTTGGCCAAAGGGATTTTCTTTCTTTTTTAAATATATTTTATTGATTTTTTACAGAGAGGAAGGGAGAGAGATAGAGAGCTAGAAACGTCGATGAGAGAGAAACATCGACCAGCTGCCTCTTGCACACCCCCCACTGGGGATGTGCCCGCAACCAACGTACATGCCCTTGCCTGGAATCGAACCTGGGACCTTTCAGTCCGCAGACCGACGCTCTACCACTGAGCCAAACCAGCTTTGGCTGGACAAAGGGATTTTCATATTTATTGTTAGATTGCTTTTAAGAAAGAGAGTAATAATTTATGTCCCATTAGTGAGTGTCTTTTCCATTTTATTTTCCCTAACATTAAGTACATATTTTTAATAAAATGGTTATCTTGATAGGTGAAGTATATTATTTTGAATTGCATTTCTTATATTTCGTCTGAGTTTTTCCCCCCCATGTTTCTTAGTTTTACTTATTTTCTCTTTTTTGAGTTGTCCTTTGTCTACTTATCTTTTGCAGTTTTGTGCTTTTCTTATTAATTTGTATGAGGTGGGAGCTAAATCTCTCTAAGACATTCCTTTAATACAGTGGTTCTTAACTTTTTGGGGTCATACCTCTTTAAACATGGATCAATTTTTCAAAAAAATACCTTTACTATGTTGCATACATATATCTTTAAAATGTTGCATACTGTTTCAGAGAGTTTGAAGGTTCCTTCAAGCCTACCCCTAGATTCAGAATCCTTGCCTTTTATGTTACCAGGAGACAGACTTTTAGTCTGGATAATTCATTGTCTAACTAGGTCTAATATTTCTTATGTTTTGATATTTGTCTCTATTATGAACCCTATTGAAAGTGGCATTATGGTATGGATTTCAAGTCTTTTATAGTTCTCTAAAAGTACTTTTTTTATCTGCTTCTAAATTTAGGGAGTTTAATTAAATGATTCACCTTTCTTTCATTATTAAATACTATGAAATTTACTAACAAATTATACAAATAAACTGCTTCCTCCCCTCCCCTCTAGCATATTATGTGAGTCCTATTAATGAAGGTAAAGATTTCTACAAAAGTAGTCATCAGACAGTATTTAACAAAATGGGCATGGTTGTGTGTTACAAATAAAACTGTATTTACAACAGATTTGGCTCAAGGTCTATCATTAACCAATTGACTTAGATAAGTGGTCGATAAACTTATTAGTCAACAGAGCCAAATATCAACAGTACAATGATTGAAATTTCTTTTGAGTGACAATTTTTTTTTAAACTTAAACTATATAGGTAGGTACATTGTTATTAACTTAATTAGGGTACTCATAAGCTGGCCTTTGCTAAAAACTCAAGGAGCCAAAGAGCCGCATGTGGCTAGCAAGCCACAGTTTGCTGACACTGACATAGAACATACAATACTAATAGTAATACAACATGATTGGGGCAGTTGTCCTCAAGACATAGTAGTCTAAAGAGTTCTGGACTAGGAGTCAGACGATTAATTCAAATAGTTCTGTAACTTGTTATTAGAAAGAGCAAATTGTTTAACTACTCTGAATTTAGTGTGTTTTTTTAAAATTTAGTTTCTTCTATAAAATTAAGCAGTTGTTTCAGAGGGCTTTATGGTCAACTCCAAAATTATGTTAAAATTTGAAGCATTGTAATTTAATAATCCTTTTTCTATTGTGTTTAATTTGTTCTTTTATCCTATGTAGGTGCCTTTTACCTTGTATTTGAGTATATGGACCATGACTTAATGGGACTGCTAGAATCTGGTTTGGTGCATTTTTCTGAAGATCATATCAAGTCCTTCATGAAACAACTAATGGAAGGATTGGATTACTGTCACAAAAAGAATTTCCTACATCGGGATATTAAATGTTCTAACATTTTGCTGAACAACAGGTAATATGGTAAAACTAACATGTGACCTGACTGGGAATTGAACCCGTGACCTTCAGGTTCATAGATCTATACTCAACCCCTGTGCCATACCGGTCAGGCAGATTTACTCATTGTTTTCAACATTTCTGTTTAAAATATTTGACAAACATAGCAATATGAAATTTTACGACATATTTTTTGGTCTTTGTGGAGTGGAATGACCAACCATACAGGGTTACCCAGGACTGTCCTGGTTTCAGTACTGAAAGTCCTACATGGGTGGTTGGTTGGTCACTGGAGAGCTCTGAGCTTAGGAGGGGAGCTAAACAAATAAATTGCTCAATTCAGTAAGCATTTTATTAAGCCCATTTTTTTCCTTGAATTTGGGAGTGCCTGGGGAGATGCAATCTAGAGGAATAAATAGGAATTTATCTGAAAGACTGACAACAGAGGGCCGAGTTTCTAGGCAAAATAAATTGCATTGACAAAAGCACATAAATGTGAAAATAACATAGCATGTCTGGAAAATGAAAAAAAATCAGTATTGCTAGGGTAAAGCTGAACAGTTGCAAGAACCAATTTAAGGATCTAGTATAAAGTCGCTAAGGAGGTTAAACTTCATAGGTGACAATCACTGAAGGATGTTGGTTCAGTTAATTTGTTTTTAAATTATAAAAATGCATTATTTTAAACAAAAAAATATATAAACTGCATATATTTGTACTTTAATATCTTTTTGAGACAAAACATGTTAAGAGATTATTTCTTTCTCTTGCTATCTCTATGACCCACAATTCTCATTAAAACTGGGCGTAGTTAATTTACATCTATAGTCTTAATGCTTTAAGAACTTGATGATGGGATCAGCTTGCAGCTTTCTGGACTATAGTATAATTATACTTTCTCCTATTCCTGTTGCTCCTCCATGGGGGATATTTCTGGCCGTGGAATAACTGCGATTCTGCTCTGTGTCTTTTCTGGTTGGTGGGTCAGGCCCCTCCCTGTTTCTGATTTCCCACAATCAGAAAATTCAGGAAGCTAAGCCGGATGTAGGAGTCTCAAAGTCTAGTTATATGTAGTAGCTTTTGCCCTTCCCATTTAATTCTGTCTACACAGAGACTTCTGGGTAATATTACCTGGAGGGAATGGTAAGGAGTCCTGAGCTGGACAAGAAAGAGAAGTTGATAAGAGAGGGAGGAGAGCAGGGCTAGTAAGTCATGTGGGAGTTCCAAACTAGCAGTGTACATAGATTCAGGAGTTACCAAGCATAGAACCCAAGGGAATGGTCAGAGAGAGAGAAAGAAAATTAAGTATATCATGAATGCAAAATAAGCAAGTTTAAGAAGTGACTGGCCATAGATGTCCGATGATTATAAGACATTATAAGACTTATAAGAATATGAAAATTAAAAGGTCAGTGGAAACGGGGGTAAGTGGGTAGGTAAGACAAAAGGAAGGTGATGGTAAATATGTCTTTAACTTTTAATTTAAGGATGCAGAGGTTTGAGTATATTTAAATGGTAATGAATAGAAAATCAATAAAAGTTGAAGACTCAGGAATTTAAAGTTGAGAGGGTCGAGAGGAGTTGGAATCAAAGCCACAGGTGGTAGTAGCCACAAATGTAGGTGTTGATTAGCCTTGAACAAGAAAAGAGATTAACAAACTTGTCTGTAGTTGAAGGAAGGGAAGGAAGGTTATAGGTGCAAAAAGTTTATAGGTAATATGATGACTTCTATTTTCAATGAAGGTCATTTACTGAGAGTGAGTGGGAAGGGTGGCTTAGGTGCTGGTTATATTTAGGTCTGGCCTATTTTTCCATAACTATGTCTATTGCCATTTTAACTTTTAGTCTACTGTGTGCCTTGAGTCGTGGACCATCTCAGGCTCTCAGAGTAAGATGCCAAGAAATTTGAGGAACCCTTTTTGTCTCAATATAAAACTCAAGTCAGCTATTCCTTTCCATTTTGATTTTCTCAGAACTTGCTTATAAATTGAACCTTAAAATGTAATGATGTTTGGAACAAATAGGTAAGATCCCATAATCTTTATTAGGAATGATTAGAGTTGGTTTAATGTAAAATTTTGTTGTTACCGGCATACTTTGGAGATATTACTAGGTTGGTACCAGACCACCACAATAAAGTAAATATCACAGTAAAGTGAATCATACAAATTTTTTTGTTTCCCAGTGCATATAAAAGTTATGTTTACACTGTAGTCTGTTGAGAGTGCAATAGCATTATGTCAAAAAAATATACATAACTGAATTTTAAAAAGTCTTTGTTGCTAAAAAAAAAAAAAAAATGCTAACCATCATCTGAGCCTTTAGTGAATCCTAATTTTTTTGCTGATGGAAAGTCTTGCCTCTCTGTTGATGAAATAGCCTCCTCTTTTTTTTTTTTTTTCCTCTTCTAATCTTCCTGATCTGGGCTATTATGCATCTGAGATATCCCCAGTCCCTAAAAAAGAGTGAGTTGCCTTTTCATTCCCCAAAGTAACACAAGCTGTACATGTAAATAAATAGGCTGCATAAGAGTTTAAATATGATTAATCTGAAATAATTAATAAATGGTTTTTTAATAGTTTGCCAACATTTTGTATTGATGTTTATTAAAATATTACTTGCCATCACTGTCAAAGTCAGCATACTTAGCAGAGTGAAGTGTGGGTGTGGTCCTTTTAAGGGATGGTTCTCAAAGTGTGGTTCTCAGAATGGCAATACTTGCATCTAACTGTGGGCTTGTTAGAAATTCAAATTTTGGGGCTATGACCTCTACTGAATCAGCGTCTCTGGCACTAGGGCTCAGGATACTTTTAATAAGCTTTCCAAGTGATTTTTATTTCATATTAAAGTTTGAAAACCCCTCTAAGATCATAGTTGTATATCATTACTAGAAGCCCGGTGCACAAAATTTGTGCACAAATAGGGTCCCTAGTCCTGGCTAGTGAACAGGGCTGATTGGGGCCTTCTGGCTGCTGGCCTATGCCTTTCCTCCCCCACTGCCAGCTGTCCTGCTGCTCCCTGGTGGTCAGTGCATGACATAACGAGCAATTGAACTCCCAGTCTCAGTCAAACTCCTGAGGGGACACTGCTATATTATTAGCCTTTTTATATATAGATGGTATAGGAATTGATGGTAATTTGTTGATATAAGTCCTCATTCATCATAAAAATTGTTTGCTCAGATCAGAGCTGTCATCCCTATTTGAAAAACATCTGTGATAGCCACAGTGTTACATTTTTAAAAAAAATATATTTTATTGATTTTTTTATAGAAAGGAAGGGAGAGAGATAGAGAGCTAGAAACGTCGATGAGAGAGAAACATCGACCAGCTGCCTCTTGCACACCCCCTACCGGGGATGTGCCTGCAACCAATGTACATGCCCCTGTCGAGAATCGAACCTGGGACCTTTCAGTCCGCAGACCGACACTCTACCACTGAGCCAAACCGGTTTCAGCAACACAGTGTTACTTTTTATTACAAAAATGTCAAATTACAAGGAAAAGTTGAGATCATATAATTAATTACATATACAATTAATATTTTATTATCGTTGCTCTTATTTTTCTGTTTGAGTTATTTTATTTTTAAATATATTATTGATTTCAAAGAAGAAGGGAGAAGGAAAGAGAGAGAGAAACATTAATGATGAGAGAGAATCATTGGTTGGCTGCCTCCTGCATATGTCCCACCCTGGGGGTTGAGCCCCACAACCCAGGCATGCACCCTGACTGGGAATTGAACCCTGACCTCCTGGTTCATAGGTCAATGCTCAACCACTGAGCCACGCAAGCTGGGCTCTGTTTGAATTATTTTAAAGCAAATTATAGACATCATTACATTTGGCCCTAAATACAACATTAATTATTACCTATTCTAACACTCAATCCATATATTTTTTTCAGTTATGTCAAAAATATCTTTTGATTGTATACTTAATTTGGGTTATGAGTTGACTTTAATTGTTATGCCTCTTAAATCTCTCTTAATCTAGAACAGCCATTTCTCCCCCCAGTAATAAGTAATCATGCAGGGTCTAGCCACTGTTCGCCAAGACATAAGGAAATATTTAGTTGATTCAAATCCAAAAATTAGTAACCTTAAGGCTTCGTAAACTGGAGTAATCAAAAGAAATTTAACCTGGGGAAAGTGACCATTAAGAGCAGAGGTTAAAATCAAATTTATAAATCCTCTAACTTCTAAATTAACTTGACTTTTTAGGTATAATTTGTAGATTGCTGCTGTTAGTTATGAAGATAATTGATTTTGTTTTACAGTGGGCAAATCAAGCTAGCAGATTTTGGACTTGCTCGGCTCTATAACTCTGAAGAGAGGTGAGACATTTATCAAAATTACATGTGGGAAATAATGCTTTTTATTATTGGATATTCTAGTATCTTGCAAGTTGCAATAACTGTCAGAGCTCCCTAATTTTCTAAATGTATTACTACCTATGTTATAGAAAGTAAATTCTGTGTTAAGTTCTTGGATCAGCCTTAAACTAAAATAAGTCAACCCAAACTTCCATTTTTGAACTATTAGGTTGCTGTAGAGCTGTTTTGATAGTCCCAACTTCAGTTGGCAGCTATTTCTATTTGCATTTAATTGTTCAAATATTTTATATCAGAAACTATTGTAAATTTGTGTCATGGTTGTTTTTTATATTTCAGTCGCCCTTATACAAACAAAGTCATTACTCTGTGGTACCGACCTCCAGAACTTTTGCTGGGAGAGGAACGTTATACACCAGCCATAGATGTTTGGAGCTGTGGGTAAGGCTCCCATTACTTTTTCTTTTCTTTGAAAGTCATGTATTGTTGAACTTATATCTTGTTCTCTCTCTACATTGATTTTTGTAGCTTTTTTTTTTTTTTTAGCCAAATTTCAGAGAAATCTATTGTTGAATATTTCTTAATATCAGAGATACTTTATTTATTTTTATTTAACTTTTTTGTACTGCCCTCACTAGATGTTCACTGGACAGTAGTGCAACCCCAAGATACTTTTTAAACATTTCACCAATTATCTTTTTATTTCTTTTAACTTAGTCTGAATTGGGATACATATACAATCAAATTCATAGATTGCAATTATCTCGTCTTTTCATTATAGATTCTTCTTCTATCTATCTTGATTCCCCTTATCTCCTTTACAAGTTTCTTAGAAGAATCTGGGTCATTTATTCTATACAATTTCCCACAGTCTGGATTTTACTGATTGCATTCTTTTCATATATATATATATATATATATATATAATTTATTGATTTTTTTTTTTACAGAGAGGAAGGGAGAGGGATAGAGAGAAACATCGATGAGAGAGAAACATTGATCAGCTGCCTCCTGCACACTTCTTACTGGGGATGCACCTGAAATCAAGGTTCATGCCTTGACCAGAATTGAATTTGGGGCCTTTCAGTCCGCAGGCCGACGCTCTATATCCACTGAGCCAAACTGGTTAGGGCTGATTGCATTCTTGTGTTGTTGTTTTTTGACATGGTTCTCTATTCCTTTCATTTTCTATATATCGTAGGTGAAGTTAAGTTTGATTCCCAATTACCCGCTGACCTTGAAACTATTTTACAGATAGTTTTGAGTATCTCTACAGATTATTAAAATGATACATCAGAGTTGCGGGGAGAGGAAGGACAGCCTTTGCCCAGAAAACAGGCAATAACTAGGTACATTATTTGTAAAAATTTGAAAACAAATAATACATATTAATTTGCCCTATAAAATATAAATTTTATTGATTTCAGAAAGGAAGGGAGAGGGATAGAAACATCAATGATGAGAGAGAATCATTGATTGGCTGCCTCCTGCATGCCCCTTACTGGGGATGTGAGCCCACAACCTGGGCATGTGCCCTTGGCTGGAATTGAACCTAGGACCCTTCAGTCTGTAGGCCTATGCTCTATCCAGTTAGCCAAACCAGCAAGGGTTGGTCTGCTTTTTATTATCATCTTATATAGGCAATTCTGGTAAAATATTTATTCCAAAATGTTGAATACATAATGATGTTTTCCCCATCAAAGGACTGGAAACTGAAATTTAACCGGTACTAGGGCAGATTTATACACTTATATATACCACTTTACATAACATATAATTGTCTCTTTTTGAAATGTTAGCTGTTAATGATCCATATCCATTAATTGTGATTGTTTTGTGATAGTGATATTCTAATTATATCATTCCTTCTGGAATAAAGATAATATATCTATTTGTACCTAATATATATCTTAGGTTCAAATGATAGGAAAAAGGTAGGGATAAAGGTTTATTTCTTTTATTTACTATTTTAAGATAAAGAGATGGTTTTCTAGCATTCTCTAAATATAATCGGGGCTTGTTTTTTAATTTCATTACAAACTTATGGAATGAAACATATTTGATATGTGTTAATCCATTATAGTTATCATTCTTATTCCTGTTCAAATTGTCCAGTTTTTAGGGAGTTTATTCAGGTTAATACTTGAGTCTTTTTGATACATTCATAGTCTTTGTTTTCAAAGACTTCCTTATTTTCTGGTCCCAGGCTCATCCTATTTATTTCCTGCCCCATACCTTGTATCAGCCATTTCTCTAAGTACTCTTAGTTCCTTTTCATTGAAAATAATATTTACCATTTGCTTGTGAGAGGAATACACATTTTACATGGCCCATGTTCATTAATTGTTTCTTATGATGTATGACTTATACATACATACCACTGTCCTTCACCTGAATGCTTTAGGCTTCTGATATACATACTTGCACTGGACCATAACACTTTTCTTTATTTTTTCCTTCTATTTCATTATTTAAAAGGAGCATTGCAAGGCTTTTATTTCAAAATTCATAACAGGGAGAAAGAGAATATAATTTCTGTAGTAGCTTACCCAGGTCAAATGAAGCTTTAGTTAAATATTACTGAATCAAGCTGGGTGTGTCTCTTTCTGGACTATTTGCTTTAATAGTATTAGCATTTAAATTGTCACAACTAGCCGAAACCAGTTTGGCTCAGTGGATAGAGTGTCGGTCTGCGGACTGGAAGGTCCCAGGTTCGATTCCGGTCAAGGGCATGTACATTGGTTGTGGACACTTCCCCAGTAGGGGTTGCGCAGGAGGCAACTGGTCAATATTTCTCTCTCATTGATGTTTCTAGCTCTCCATCCCTCTCCCTTCCTCTCTGTGAAAAATCAATAAAATATATATTTTTAAAAAATAAATAAGTAAATTGTCACAACTAGATTCTAAAGGTAATGCCCCATTAAGATGCAGGGTGGGAGAGGAGTTCATAGCTCTTTTGGTACTATTATTTCAGTCTCTGTAATCTGTCACCTTAGTGTAGTAGCAAAATGTTGAATACATAGTGATGTTTTCCCCATCAAATGACTGGAAACTGAAATTTAAAAAACCACAAAAACAAATTGTGAAATTAATATTATAGAAAATTAGACTTTCTTTAAAGCCCAGTGACTCATTGAATTGAGATTTTATTTGACTTTTGATGTAAGCTTACTATTTTGGTGATCCATGGTAGTCTTCTCTGAAGATACGTTTGTAGAATGTTCTTTACAGAGACTTGCTAAAGCAGTTCAATTCGAAATTCTGGGGAGAAATTAGAAAGACAAGTACAACAAATAATACCTAGAGTCTGAAAACACAGCTGAGTTTGTTTTTTCTTTTAGCCCTTTATTTTATCAGTTGTGACAGCACTGTACTTGGAATTTGATTTGGCAACTAATTTAGAAACAATTAAATTTTACTTTTTTATCTTTTGATAAGGTTTGTTTGAGGTTAACAAATACCAATAGAAAGTTACTAATAACTTTAAGAGCTAGGTTTGTTTTTCTTTCTCAAATTTAATCAGGCCAGATAATTTCAAAGTGAAACTATAAAAATATTGGTTTGGGGAGTATCTTTATAATAAAAGGCTAATATGCAAATCAACTGAACAGCAGAAAGACTGGTCGCTATGATGTGCACTGGCCACCAAGGGGCAGACGCTCAGTGCAGGAGCTGCTCCCAGGCTCACGATTGGTGAGTGCAGCAGCAGTGGCAGGAGCCTCTTCCGCCTATACAGCAGCACTAAGGATATCCGACTGCCAGCTTAGGCCCACTAAGCCATTAGTCGGATATCCCCTGAGGGCTCCCAGACTGCAAGAGGGTGCAGGCTGGGCTGAGGGACTCCGCCCCCCAGTGCATGAATTTTGTGCACCAGGCCTCTAGTATATAATATATACATAGAATAAAATGTATTTATACGTATACTGCATATTTTTTCCCAGAACTACTTGAAAGTAGTTGTATATATCATACTCCTTTCCCTCTTAATATTTAATGTACATTTCCTAAGAAATAAGATATTCTCTTAATCACAGTACAATTATCAAATTCAGGGAATTTAATATTGTTAGGTACACTAAAATAGAGTACTTTAGCTTATATTTCATATCCTCATTTTGTCAACAATGACCTGGAAACAATACCTTACCTGATAAGAGGATCCAATCCAGTATCATGAATTACATTTAGTTGCCATTGTTTTATCTGGAACAGTTCTTTAATATTTCTTTGTCTTTTGTGACATTTACATTTTTTAAAAATACAGACTAGTTACTCAATAGATTCTTGTTGTGAATTTTTGGCTGGAATACTCCATAAGTGTTCTTTTCAAGTATCACATTTATTTGTTTCTTATTAGTGACTAGAGACCCAATGCACGAAATTCGTGCAAGAGTAGGCCTTCACAGCCCCGGCTTTGTCTGGACTGTCATTTTGTTCAGCTGTTCGGTCGATTTGCATATTATGTTTTTATTATTATAGGTTATTATTATAATGTTAATTTTGGTAATTTGGTTAAGGTGTTGTTTGTCTCATGCCACTAAATAGTTACTAGTTTTCCTGTTGTAATTAATAAATAATTTGTGGCCGAAACCGGTTTGGCTCAATGGATAGAGTGTCGGCTTGGGGACTGAAGGGTCCCGGGTTCGATTCCAGTCAAGGGCATGTGCCTTGTTGAGGGCATATTCCCAGTAGTGGGTGTGCAAGAGGCAGCTGATCGCTGACTCTCTCTCATCGATGTTTCTAACTCTCTATCTGTACAAAATCAATAAAAAAATATATTAAAAAATAAAGAGGGTTGGTTTTAAAAAAAAAAATTAAAAAAAATAATTTGTGGAGAGATAATTTGGAGACTATGTCAATATAATTTTAAAACTTTTTTTCTCAAAATGATAAAGGTATTTAAGCATGTTGTATTTAAGAGTCTTATTGAAACTGATCGTGGCTTATGACAATAACCTTTTTAAAAAAAATAAATAGTGCTAAGAGGACTATAGTATAGGGCAGCAATTGCCAACCTTTCGGACCTCACAGACCACCAGCTGTCTATGGACCACCGGTTGGTGACCACTGGTATAGGGCACATTCCAAAGAACAGATGAATGAACAACTAGTACGTACTATTCTCTTTATAGGAACTGCTGAGCATCCTTGTAAAATTGAAGTGTGGGGTTTTCAGTCTTTACTTATTTTCTTAATTTACAATGGAAGTGTTAGAAAGGGACTTTTTTTTTTTTTTTTTTTTTTTTAAGAAAAGGACTCTTAACTTCCTTTCTCTGCTTTATATAAAGGTGGCAAGGGTTTTTCTTACCTGCTGATAAATTTAAGTCCTTTATATTGTCTAGTTTTAGTGCAAGAAATATTTTCTTTTATGCAACTCAGACACTGCAGTTTAGGGCTAATTTACAATGTGTTATATATACCATAAAAGTGTATTGAGACACACTATAAATAGCTTCCAGGGATTTCTCTTCTGACCTCTCAATTTTACTCTTTCTAGATGCATCCTTGGGGAACTGTTCACAAAGAAGCCTATTTTTCAAGCCAATCTGGAGCTGGCTCAGCTAGAACTGATCAGGTACAGCTGTGCATGTGCTCTGAGTGCCCAGGTGCGATAGGTGATCACATCCTCTAATTTGTAACACTTTTCAGTTATTCTACTAAATGATTTTATGCTCCTTATGTCCCAGTAAGTTTTTCTTCACTCAATCAGGTTTACCATATATTTTCTCATGTGCTATATATGTAAAGAAGTTGTATTCCACCTACTCTTTAGGTCTTACTTTGCATGTTTTTTATTCTTCAAGTAAAAGCATGCCATTTTCAGGATAGTTATTCCATTCTTAGGTTAGATTAAAATCAAATTTATTCAGCACACATTTTATTGAACCTCTTTTGTAATCATTTTCTTTCTCTGTTGAACTTTAGGATTCAGAGATAAATAAGATAGGTCCCTACCTTCAAAAAGCTTAAAATTTAATAAGTGATAAAAACATGTAAACAGATAATTATGAAATAGAACCTGTAATAGAGGGTTTCAAGAAGACCTGGGATTGGGATAGATTTTGGATTGTTTTATTCAATAAAATTAAAGGAAAGAATATAGCAGGCTAATGAAAACTTTTTTAAAAGGTGATATATAACTTAATATTTGTTATGAAGTAAACTTAATTTTCCATCAGAATTTTAAGTCTTAGGGTCTCTTCTGTCGATTTTTCATTTTAAGACCAGCCCAGCCCCTTGTAATTACCATAACTGAAGTGAACAAAATTGGTAATGAAAACCTTTGTAGAGGATTAAAATCATGTTTACAAAACTAAATATGTTGTGGATTATTTTAGATAGTATTTTCATTATCTTGTAACCAATTCTTTCTGTCCTATTCCTTTTGTCACTTAAAGCAGGCCAGGTTTTTCTTTCTGCATGCTCTCTAATTTAATAAGCTCTTGGGAGGTAATCGTTTTCGCTTCTAGAATCTCCAGAAATCATGATGCTGACGCACTTACTTCCTTGTTCTTGATTTCTGCTTTATTTTCAGTCGACTCTGTGGTAGCCCTTGTCCAGCTGTGTGGCCTGATGTTATCAAGCTGCCTTACTTCAATACTATGAAACCGAAGAAACAATATAGAAGGCGTCTACGAGAAGAATTCTCTTTGTGAGTTTGGCAAAAATGTGTATCTGTTTTCTATGTTTGATTGGTGTTTGGTTTGGACTTGGCTTTTTCCTGGCTGAGGGAATTAGTGTTGTCCCAATTTATTATGGTAATACAACATAGGAAAGCATTTTATTTTTAACAAAGTTCTGTTACAGCCTTTTGGTAATTTTCTCTTTTGAAGGCTTTAGATGATAAAAAACCATTTTATTTTGAACATTATATGTATTTTTTTCAGTCTTTTTGATTTTACCAAGGCAAAAAGAATGTAATTGCTGGCTTCATGTTTTCTACCTGTTATAGCACTTAATCCTGTGTGGAGCCCTAGCTGGTTAGGCTCAGTGGTTAAAGCGCCAATCTGTGGACTGAAGGGTCCCCGGTTTGAATCTGGTTAAGAGCACATGCATGGGTTGTGCCAGTGTAGGGTGTGCAGAAGGCAGTTGATAAATGATTCTCATCATTGATGTTTCTAGCTCTCTCTCCCTTTCCCTTCCTCTCTGAAATCAATAAAAATATGTTAAAAAAAAAAAAAAACTGTGTGGAAGAAAACCTGCTTGATTGTTTAGCCACCTTCCAACTCCCTTTCCAGTTTTATGTGGAATTGGAAATTCAGAGCCTTTGACACAAAGGTTCCAGGTTTAAGAATTATATAGTTTTTGTAACCTTGTCCTTTCTTTCTTCCTTCCCACAGCATTCCTTCAGCAGCACTTGATTTACTGGACCACATGCTGACACTAGATCCTAACAGGCGTTGCACAGCTGAGCAGACCCTACAGAGTGACTTCCTTAAAGATGTCGACCCCAGCAAAATGGATCCTCCAGAGTAAGTGCTGGTGGCCATGCAGTGACCCTAAACCTCCTCCCCAAGCCTAGGAAATGAGAAACTCAAAATATATATTTAAGAGGAACTGCAAATGGCTACATGCTAAATGGAGAGGTATCCTCAAATATGATTGATAAAAGGAAATTATGATTGATAAAAGGTTTTATTACTCTATGTTGTGTATTTTTTTAAAATATATTTTATAGATTTTTTACAGAGAGGAAGAGAGAGGGATAGAGAGCTAGAAACGTCGATGAGAGAGAAACATCGACCAGCTGCCTCCTGCACACTCCGTATTGGGGATGTGCCCACAACCAATCGAACCCGGGACCCTTCAGTCCGCAGACCAACGCTCTACCACTGAGCCACACCGGTTTCGGCTATTGTGTATTTTTTAAAACACAAGGAATAGATTTAGATATATTTGTTCTAATTTGACTCAAGCTCTCTTCTTGTGTTCTTGGATCTATATTTTCATATAGAACTTGTTTGAAGGTATTTCTTATAGTTTTTGCTATTAACTATTCCATCTGTTTGAATCCCCTATGTCTGTGATAACCATGTATATCCCACACTTACAAGACAGTGCTAATTTTAAATAGTTTGCATCACTGTTAGATCAGATGTCCTGAGGTTAGAAAATGCAGTCTTTGCCAAAACCGGTTTGGCTCAGTGGATAGAGCGTCGGTCTGCGGACTGAAGGGTCCTGGGTTCGATTCCGGTCGAGGGCATGTACCTTGGTTGTGGGCACATCCCTGATAGGGGGTGTGCAGGAGGCAACTGGTCGATGTTTCTAACTATCTCTCCCTCTCTGTAAAAAATCAATAAAATATATTTTTATAAAAAAAGAAAATGCAGTCTTTGAAGATGTCTCTCTTTCATTAGACTTTTATGAATTTCCTTATTCTCTAAGATCCTCAGAGTTCTATGGTCACATCTCACGTTCTGGCAAATAAGTCTCTTACCTTCAGATTTATCACAGCATTTTTGGAAATTTTTTTCTTACAGAAAGACTACCTTAAAGAAATGAATGAGACGTTAGTACATAAGTAGGTAGTAACTACAAATCTGGTTTTTCCAAAGAAATGTATTGCATTAGAATTTTGAAGCATAAATATTTATTAAAATACAAAAAGCATTTTACTGAAACCTGCGAACTCCTGTGATAGATTTTTGGTTATTGTAGTAAGATTTGACCTCCTGGCTCTGAAAATATATTAAAATATTTTAATAAACCCTCCAAATGAAAATATCCAGTAATGGAAATTCAGTGGGCAGAAAGAAGGATGACCAATTTTTTATTTTATTTTCACAGACCAGGTAACACATAAATTGATATTACACAGAAGGGATTTCATCATGATATGTTATTTCAAAATTTAAATCACCACTTTGCCTGGACTCTTTGTAGCTATTAACAAGCCAGTCATCTCTGCTTTTATTCCCAACTGAAACTTGACCAATAAAGTTCTCTTTTATTATTGTTATATCAAGCAAGAACTATAAGACTTAACTACTTGGCAGGAATATAAGCATTTTTATAGCAGGTGTGTCTCTGATAGTAACAAAATCCTCATTCTCATTGTAGAAGTCTTTTAGGCTTTGGGACTTATACTTCCTATGCCATGATTTCTTTTACACTATTACTATTTATTTACTAACTTCTCTGGTTATTTTTGTGTTTTCCTTGCCCTTTCCGTTTCCAACTGCTCTTTGCCTTCCCATTTTAATCTCTCTTCTGTTTACTCACTGCCACATTCCCACACACATTTCTCCTCTGCTTTGTTTTTTTCAGCCTCCCCCACTGGCAGGATTGTCATGAATTATGGAGTAAGAAACGGCGACGGCAGCGACAGAGTGGTGTTGTGGTAGAAGAGCCACCTCCAGCCAAAGCCTCTCGAAAAGAATCTACCTCAGGGACAAGTGCTGAGCCTGTGAAGAACAACAGCCCAGCACTACCACAGCCTGCTGCTGTCAAGGTGGAGCCTGCGGCTGGGGATTCAATAGGTTAGTGATGGGATAGAGATTGTGCTTCTTTATGCACATTTTGGCAGGTTTTAAAGGTTAAGTGCGAGGATGTTTGTGTGTTTTAATTTTTAGCCACTGAAGCATTAATAAAGAGGGTGGTGTTCTGATTATAGGGAAAAGGAGATAAACCAAGTTTTGTACCTTTGGTTTAGAAAGCCTACAATGGATGTATTTTCTATTCCTGAAGTAAGGAATACTATATCTCAATTAGATGTGTGGTATAAATTAGGTGAGCCAAATGTAATTTAAGGTTAGTTCACCCAGGGTCTCTAAAACATAATTTGAAGCCCTGTATATGTTAGGTTTGATAATACCTTAGAAGCCAATGATGTTAGCCGAAACTGGTTTGGCTCAGTGGATAGAGCATCACCCTGCGGACCAGGTTCGATTCCAGTCAAGGGCATGTACCTTGGTTGCGAGCACATCCTCAGTAGGGGGGGGTGTGCAAGAGGCAGCTGATGGATGAGTCTCTCTCATTGATGTTTCTAACTCTCTATCCCTCTCTCTTCCTCTCTGTAAAAAATCAATAAAATATGTTAAAAAAAAAAAAAAAAAAGAAGAAGCCAATGATGTTAAATCACAATTGCTAAATGTAGTTAGTTCTGTAGACTTATCTGATTTAAATATATACAAAATTGTATAATAATGAACTATTAAAACAAAATAGTTCTTCTGTGGGAACAACAGTTTTTCTGAACAACAGATATTCTTCCCCTGGCTCACTTTCCCTTTCCTGTCCATCTACAACAGTAATTTTCAATGCTGGTTATACATTAGAATCATCCAGGAAGCTTTAAAAATAAAACACCCCAGAATAATTGCCATATTTCTAGGAATAAATAAAGATTAAGTGAAATAACTTTTAGTTACAATACAGAGATATTTGAGTTGGTGAATTTTTATTTATTTTTAGAACTTTAAAAAAAGATGTTTTTATTGATTTTAGAGAGATGGAAGGGAGAGATAGAAACATTGATAGGCTGCCTCCTGCACATTTTCTACTGGGGATTGAGTCTGCAGCCTGGGCATGTGCTGGGAATCAAATTAGTGACTTCTTGGTGCATGGAACGCTCAGCCAACTGAGCCACACCAGCCGGGCTAGTCCATGCATTTTTAAGCAGTAATATAAAGAATTAATTTATTGTGGCCCTGGTTGGGTAGCTCAGTTGATTGGAGTATCATCATACCAAGGTTGTGGGTTCCATTCCTAGTTGGGGTACATGCAACCAATGAGTGCATAGGTGGGTGGAGAAGCAGATCCATTCTCTCTCTCTCTCTCTCTCTCTCTCTCTCTCTCTCTCTCTCTCTCTCTCTCTCTCTCTCCCCTCCCCCCCACCGTCTCCCTCTCCCCTTCCTCTCCCTCCTATTCCCTCTCTAAAATCAGTAAATTAAAAAGAAAACAATAACAAATTGTGTCCTAATGATTTGAGGCATGAAAAATGAGACATTTAAAATGACATTTCATTCACTGGATATTATAAGTTGCTCTTGCCAATTGAAGAATGCAGAAGTCTTTGCCCTGCCTCATCCTCTTATATTGGCTTCACTCTCTTCTCACAGGTCTCGGTGACATCACACAACAATTGAATCAAAGTGAGTTGGCAGTATTATTGAATCTGCTGCAGAGCCAAACCGACCTGAGCATCCCTCAAATGGTACAGCTGCTTAACATCCACTCCAACCCTGAGATACAGCAGCAGCTCGAGGCCCTGAACCAATCTATCAGTGCCCTAACAGAAGCCACTTCCCAGCAGCAGGACTCAGAGCCCGTGGCCCCAGAGGAATCTGTGAAGGAGGCACCCCTAGTTTCAGTGGTCCAGCCTTCAGCAGAACAGAAAACGCCTGAAGCTTCGAGCACACCAGCTGACATGCAGAATATGTTGGCAGTTCTCTTGAGTCAGCTGATGAAAACCCAGGAGCCAGCAGGCAACCTGGAGGAAAACAACAGTGACAAGAACAGTGGGCTACAGGGGCCCCGAAGAACTCCCACAATGCCACAGGAGGAGGCAGCAGGTAAACAGACCGGTCATGAATCTCATTGAGCTCAGGTGCTGTTGATCCTCTTAAAAGTCTCTTTAACATTTTCTTTTTCACATCAATGGCATCGGTTTCAGTTTTTCTGTAACCTAGTCTACAGAAGAACATACCAACAAGTGATGTATTTCTTGTCCGGCTTCTTTTATTTAAGTATCAAAGCTTTTCAAAGCACCTTTTCACATACTGATTGTTTTTCCATTTCTTAGGAGGTAGGTAAGTAAAACCCCTGTGTTCTAACCCACAGAAACCACAACCATAGCTAGTGACATGTTTGAACTACTGTGTATTTGGTGGCCAACTTACTCTTGAAAATCTGCCTTCCAAACAAACCATCAGATTGTGTAAATAGTCAGTGGTACTCTAGTGTAGTGGATACTGGATACCAGAGTCTTGCCTGAAGATACATTCAAGAAAACCCTAATAAAACATCATTGTTAATCTCATGAAGAATAATTTGGGGATATTTCTAAATAACACCATACATTTATTTTTCAAAAATTAATAGCATATAAAAGTGATTCCTTTAAAATATGTGTTCCTGAAAAAGACAATTAAATGGATTTTAGCTTAGGAAATGAGCATTATATAAAGGAAAAATATATTATAAAAGGAAATATGTTCGTTATACCTTGATTTCACATGACCACAGCATGCAATTTATTAAGGAAAAGAAGTTTTTCTGATCAATTCTGATTCAGTGTTTGCAAAATCGCTATTTATCTAAAAGTGTTTTAAACTCTGGAAATTTTTGCTGTCCATGAAGACCCCATGAATTGGGGAATGAGAAGAGGTACAAGGGTTGAAGAGATTCACTAACCTTCAACTTCAGGGTCCTGCATATGGGATGGTGCAGAAAGTATATGCCTTATTTCCAACTGGTATAGAGTCAAATATAGAAGTTAATTTTCATATGTAAAGCTTTTTAAAACTGGAAGATAATATAAATAAAATTAACCCTTATATTTTACAGATAGGGAAACTGCAATCCAGCGAATTTAAATTAGCCTGCTTATTTAAAAAAAAAAAAAAAAAGCCTGTTGATGGTCCCACTACTGGAATCATATTACTGGCAGAGCCAGAATTTAGAACTTGTGTACCCTTTAAAGTGTTTCTTAATTCACTTTGCTATTCTGTCATCTGATTTCATTTAATTCCAGGACATGGAATAACACAGAAAACTAATCTAGAATTAAAGGAGGCCTCTTTGTATCATCTCTCATACCCCTGCAAAAAGAAAAAAAAAAATCAGCTATAATCAAAATACCTGAAAGAAGTGGTTCAAATTAAATAAATAGCATAGTGACTGAGATGCACTCAATAATTGAGTGAACAAGCTATCAACTAAATGATGAAATTGAACCAAAATTAAGGCCTGGCCTATGGTAAAAAAAAAAAAAAAAAAAAAAAAATTGTTGGATTTACTTTTCAGAGGAGAATAAAAATGCCACTCCTAATTATTACAGTCACCCCTGGATTAACCAGCTGGTGTCTCCTGTGTCTCTCCTGTTTCTCCCCTGCTGCCTCTTTCAGCCATTTTACTGTTCATTAGCACTTCCACCAGAGGGCAGACTAAATAAGCCGTAGAAGGTGAAAATCTATCACTTTGGCTACTGTTTAGCTTCTCTATGCTTGTTGGGAAAGGGTTATGGTTGAAAACTGATGAGTCAAATAAAGTTTTAAAAGTTACTTGTACCTTTCATTAACACCTACTTCCATTAGTACAGATTGTTAAAGATTGGCAATATTGTTAACACTAAATCTTACAACAGTATGATATTTTAAATGTGATCTTTATTTTTAATTCCTTTAAGAAGTTTTATTAGCCCTGTCTGGGTGGCTCAGTTCATTGGAGTGTCATCTTGTACATTAAAAGGTTCTGGGTTCGATACCCAGTCAGGGCATGCGCCTAGGTTACAGGTTCAGATGGGAGGTAACCAATCGATATTTCTCTCCCCATTCTCTCTCTTCTCTCTCCTCCTCCCTCCTTTCTCTCAAGTCAATGAAAGCATGTCTTCAGGTGAGGATTAAAAACAAAGTTTTTATTAACCTTACTTTAATAGTTTTTTACAATCTGTCTGCTTTTGCTACTTGAAATAGTTTTCATCTTCATACATGTAAAAAATTTGAGCTCAAAATATGACTTTATAATACTGAAACAACTTGGCTATTTAGATAAAAGACAAACTTTAAATGTGAATAGTATGTAGTATATCTGAAAAAGTTTAAGTTTAGTTTTGTTCACTTTCGCAGTTGGGTATTTTTAAAGTCATTTTCTCTCAGCATTAAAAAAAAAAACACAAAAAAAAACCCCACCACCAACAACCTGGTGTCCGTTTCATATATTGTCCAAAAAATACTTTAATAACTAACCAGTTCTGTGATGTTTTTATGTAGTGAGATGTGTAGCATTGGCAACAAAAATCTTTGAAATCTATAGATGTCTGTATGTAGTTCAGTTAGCTCTCCTTTTTTAGGATGTCTACTTTTCAGGTTGTGAATTTTCATGGCTAATTTTTAAAAAAAATATATTTTATTGATTTTTTACAGAGAGGAAGGGAGCTAAACCGATTTCGGCCATAGCTAATTTTTTTTTACCTTAAATTCATTTTTCCTATCACCTAGTCAACCAGCCAGTCTGTCAACAAGTTACTTGAGCAGGTACTGTATATAGGGTGACCAGCTTACCTGTGCAATCCTGATTTTAAAAGTGAAAGTTGGCAATTTGGGAACCCTCTCAGTCCTGAGCAAATTGGAACTGTTGGTCGCCCTTATTTGTATGTTACATACAGCATCTGATCTCATCCTTTCACTGCATAACTTCACAATTTTGTAGTGTTTTCATCTGCATGTTCATACTTTTTTATCTTTGCAAAATATAATTGTGGTAAATATGCTACCAAAATATCTAATTATAACTAAAAACTACTTTTTCTTTGTCTGAGGAATGACTTTATATTACTACCTCAAATAATAAGAATTTATTATATAGATATTTCAAAATATAGGAAACGGAAAATCAATCATTTTAGAAGATACTCCAAAGCATTAAGCCTTATTTTTCAGCAGGGTAATTTCCAACTCTCTAAGTGTACTGTTTTGACTGTACTGGGTTTTTTATGTCCTCAAACTCATGCCATTTTATATCTCTAACCTGCTGTCTTGGCAGTATTTCATTTTCAGACAGTGATTGGCATACTTGGGCAAACTTAGCCAGCAGTGGGCGGGGGGGGGGGGGGGTAGTCTGGAGGGTGGTTTAGAAAGACAAAGGTCTTTTGAAAGACAAAGTATAATATTAGTTTAATACATTTCTGAATATTCAGTTCTTTTCACTGTCTCCAAGATAAACAGATGTTTATCAACAGCCCATTCTGCATGACATTGCTATAGTAATTTTTCTTATAGCCTGGGAAAAATGCAGGAGGTTGGGAAACAAAAAAGAAAATTATTATAGATTACTTTAGTCTTTATAATTACTATAACATAGGAAGCTGAATGACAGTATGGTGGTTCATATTCCATTCTTCAGAATGTGGTTATAAGGAGAGGGATTGAAGTTTGGAGAATCAAGTGTATATTTATACATGATGATAATGAAAGAATTTTTTTTTTTTACTTTATTCCATCTCTCCTATGGGTTCTTTAAGTTCTATTTCAGGTGTTAACCTTATTATTAAGCATTCTGTAAAATGTGTTAGCTAAGTCTATGCAAGGTCTCCATTGTACAGCAAGATTATGTCCTAGAAATGTGACCACAGCATATACATTGTTCCCTCTCACCTTCCTTCTTTCTACTTTATTTTCGTTAATGTTTTGATTCAACAGCAAATAGGGTCAGGAAAGCTGCCAACAGCCTACATTATTAGAACATTTCCTTAAGGAAGGAAATGGAGGAAATCTCAGACAAAAATTAGAACAATATTTGAAACATATGATCTTTTTACAACAGCTGTTAGATCCAGAATGCAACTGTTTTTCTTTTAATCACTTGATTTTATTTATAAATTGAAATTTCCTGATCCCAATTTTTTATTCTTTATATATATTTCGTTACATGTATTGATATATGTTTATCTTGGGTAGTGTTTGTGTGTGTGAGTGTGTATGTATGTTTGTGTTTATAATCACATGTGATTTTTAAGATGGTGTTAAAAGAAGTAACCCTTCCACAGCATGTCCTCCTCACATTCTTCCACCAGAGAAGAGGCCCCCTGAGCCCCCCGGACCTCCACCGCCGCCACCTCCGCCCCCTCTGGTCGAAGGCGATCTTTCCAGCGTCCCCCAGGAGTTGAACCCAGCCGTGACAGCCGCCTTGCTGCAACTTTTATCCCAGCCTGAAGCAGAGCCTCCTGGCCACCTGCCACATGAGCACCAGGCCTTGAGACCAATGGAATACTCTACCCGACCCCATCCCGACAGGACTTACGGAAACACTGATGGGCCTGAAACAGGGTTCAGTGCCACTGACACTGATGAGCGCAATTCTGGTCCAGCCTTGACAGAATCCTTGGCCCAGACCCTGGTGAAGAACAGGACCTTCTCAGGCTCTGTGAGCCACCTTGGGGAGTCCAGCAGTTACCAGGGTACAGGGTCAGTGCAGTTTCCAGGGGACCAGGACCTCCGTTTTGCCAGGGTCCCCTTAGCATTACACTCAGTGGTCGGGCAACCATTCCTGAAGGCTGAGGGAAGCAACAACTCTGTGGCACATGCAGAGACCAAATTGCAAAACTTTGGGGAGCTGGGGCCAGGAACCAGTGGAGCCAGCAGCTCAGGAGCAGGCCTTAACTGGGTGGGCCCAGCTCAGTCTTCTGCTTATGGAAAACTCTATCGGGGACCTACAAGAGTCCCACCAAGAGGGGGAAGAGGGAGAGGAGTTCCTTACTAACCCAGAGACTTCAGTGTCCTGAAAGATTCCTTCCCTGTCCATCCTCCATCCAGTCCTCTGAACCTTTAATGAAATCATTTACCAGAGCGAGGTA